ATTATAAAATAAAAGCATGATATGTTTTATAGAATAATGAAAAAAAACTAAGAAAAATAAAGTATGAAGGAACTTGGGATGCTGAAATATTTCTCATCACATAACTAGTTAACTGTTTCCTCACAGAGAATTTCTATCAGTGAAGTCATCATCAGAAGTGCAAAACACATCTTCAGGACCTATCTACAGGTGAAGTGCTCAAATAATGTAAACAAGTGAAATATTGCATTTTACAATCCAGCACACGTTTTATAATACCAACATATCTCATTTTCTCCCAGGATGTAGAACCTGCTACTTTCTCCGCTGCTGTCAGTCACTTCCTAAACTGCCTCCTGAGCTCCTCCTCCAGTTTCCCCGACTCCTGCTCAGATGAGCTGCTCTCTCGCCGCAGGAGCCGGCGGAGGAGGAGCCACGGGAGTCGAGTTGCCATGTTGAAAGAAAGCGTTTGGGCCAGACTGACCCCCAGCGAGCTGTGGGGCCGGATCAGGACCGAGGCTGCAGATTATTACCACCACTCATTAGACAGGTGTGTGTTATTGTGCATGTGTGTGTCTGTGGGTGAATACGTGCAACATGACTTTACATCCATCTTCTCTGTGTCCAGTGAAAGTATGGATGACGTCATAGAAAAACACGGCCTTCAGAGGATCTCCCTACTGAGAGAAATGGCCATCAAGACAGGAATCCAGGTCAGACATTTATCATTCTTCTCTACAAAATACAATATGAATTCTGTCAATTTCAAAGATGTATTAGGCAATGCTTTTTGCCGTAATCACACCTTTTGTTTAATTAAAAATCTAATCTACAACTTCAATCGTTGAGAAATAAGTATCAAAGAGTGAAAGTTCCATTCTGTATCAAATCTAGGCTCGCTAATAATGGTGGGTAGTGGTTGAAACCCCACCACTATATTCACTTCTTCCAGAAGCTAAAATGAGAGTTTTGCCACACTTCTATCTTGTAGTTCACAGAAAAAAATATCTGCTAATTGTGTATGCTTGAGGCAAAGGATTTACACTGATGGCTGATAATCTGAGGGCCAATAATCTGTGGTTGCAGAAATCAAACAATTACTTTACAGTTATAGCTCAAGCATTACCTTTGGGCAGCCGCAATGCAAAGATATCTAGAGCAGCTTCAAATGCAGATGTTTCCCCCTTCTCTGCATCTATAGGTGCAGCTGAGGGAGTATGTGTTTGAGGCGCGACACAAGCCGGTGTTTGGTGAGGAAGATGTTGTTAACATGTTCCCTGTAGTCAAACATATCAAACCTACAGCATCGGACGCCACAAGGCTTGTGCAACATGCACAGGTAGCAGTACAGCAGGGTAAGAGACACAGACACAATATTTACATCATAAACAGCATGTATATGTTTATATTAAGGGCAGCATGGTGGCCTTGCATGAGTAGTAGTATTATCACAATGTTCATGATGATTATTTAAGAAGTAAAGTTAACAATACATTTAAGTTATGTAACCCTTTAGAAGACTGAGTTAATTTGGAGTTTTTTTAGTATTTTAAAAGTTATGTTTAGGACAACAACTTCTCATTTAGGAATTAGGAAAGAATAATTAAATTAAACTTAGTAACTACTTAAAAAGTAACTTCCTCATACACATTTTTTGTACATTCAAGGCTCATCAGTATTTTACATTTGTTCTTAGGGCTTCTCAACGAGGGCTGTGAATTGATCAGCCAGGCCCTGACTCTGTTCAGCAGCGTATGTGGGGTCCTGCATGAGGACGTGTGCATGTGCCTGCGTCTCCTGGGACGAATCTGCTACATCCTGGGGGAATATGCAGATGTAAATATGCGTTGCAGTTCATTTATACCATTACCTTTCACCTAGACTAGTGACATATTTTTGGGGTTTTACCAACAAATATTTCGGAGCCTTTCAGAAAGTAATGTTTACCTTAAATGTCTCACAGGCCCTCAGCCACCAGGAAAAGGTTGCCATTACTAGTGAGAGAATACAAGGTATAGACCATCCTCAGACCGTACAAGACTATGTGAGTTTCTTTACATTTACGTTTATACACAAACATATTGCTGGACCATAGGTTGTTGGTTTCTAACTTTACTCTATTAAAGTAACTTTTCACTTTTACCTATCTGGTATTTAGATTTTTCTGGCCCTGTACTGCTTTGCTGGAGGCCAGCTTTCGATCTCCCTGCAGCTGCTGTATCGTGCTCGGTACCTCACCCTGCTCATGTGCGGAGAAGACCATCCACAGGTCTCCATGCTGGATGTAAGTGTGACCTCACATGCAAAATGTTGCTGACAAAATCTATTTGGATGTTATCTATTACAAGGTGGTTTAAAGCCAGTGCTTTGGGGTGAATCTAAGGATTTTGTTGGATAGGTAAATCATAATTGTCATCCAAGATAAAGTTTTAACAACACCTACTGAAATCCTAATATGTGAATTTGCAAGAAATTAGGTATGAACAAATAAAGATTGTTTTCTCGCACTGATGATATTCAAACAAATATTAAGAGTATATGTAGTTTTCAATCAGGCAGGCCTCTTAACCCTTTTACCCCAAGCTCTCTCTCTCCCAAGGTACACTGCTATTGAAGAGGTACAAACAAAGACAGACAACTGAACAAAAAGTATATCAAAGAAAAAAATAGTACCTATGGGAGAGACTTGAAATGATTAAAGTGTTGGATCAGGACCCCACGCAGAATGTGGAAATCATTTTTACACAATAGAACTTCAGGTAGATAAGATAACTCAAACTCAAAGCATCGCAACAACACAAACCTGCAGGGTCTTGATATCCTGGAATTGCAGCAACCTGTCCAAAATATTTGGCAGTGCTTCTTTTAATGTCTGTTAATGTCCTTTTTGTGCTTCACTACATTAGAGTATGCTGGGTCTAGTACTTCATGGACTGATGGAGCATGAGCTTTCATTCAAGTTCCTACAGAATGCCTTACATTTAACCTCAAAATACCATGGTGCCATGTCCCTGAAGCATGCACAAAGGTAAGACACCCGTCATGTTCATGATATTCTTACACATATATTCAGAAGCAGACAGAAAGACAGCAAACATAGATTGCAATTCAGTTTTTAGCAAACGTGTTTCATTCCCTTATTGCCTCTCCCTGTGTATCTTCTGTGCAGTCATCATCTTCTTGCCACTGTGTTCGAGAGTAAAGGAGATTTTCGATCATCTCTGCAACACGAAAAAGAGGCTTATTTAATATATAGGAGCCAGGTGTGCTTTAAAACTTTAAAATACAATGTTTGGTGTTGTCATATTTATTTTGTATGCTCTTAATTTTAACTGAGAGACTACATCTAAAGGTTGGGGAGAACCATGACAGCACGAAGGAAAGCTCGGACTACCTGAAGACGCTCACTCAGCAGGCTGTGGTCTTACAGAAAGCCATCAACCATATATACAGTAACACGCCTAGTGCCTGTATTCAACCTCCAAAGGTTTGTACATGAACACGTGTATGCAAGCAAGAAAGTGGCCCCTGCTCAAGTGCATTTCAACCGAATGAACTTTGTCTCATCTGTGTTTCTCTCCAGTTTGCCACACCAAGTCTTTCCTCAATCCTTCAGCAGCTCAACCTGACATGTGGAATCATTCTCATTCCCCTCAGGTAAGCACTCAAACAGGCCAAGATAATGAATAATAAAATGACTGCTAATGTTGTTTGTAATGCTCATCTCTTTAACTGTATCTGTCCATCTAGTGCGAAAGAAGTTGCAGACCTGAGGACTGAACTGAAAGAAAGGGCAAAGATTAAAGTGGAAGATCTGGAAAAAAATACGTAAGAACTGCAGACAATAATATTAAAATATGGACCAAAGGGACATTTACAATATAACACGTGTAGTCAGTCAGACTCTTGAAAACGACTGCAGACTATGAGCAAACAAATGAAAGCCTGGAAATTGCTCCTGTTTTCTAGTAGGTATAAACTTACCAAAACCAAACTACAATGAACTCTGCAGGCTGTAACTCTGATGGAAAATATGTGTAACTCTCCTTGGTGGGAAATAAATGAACTAACCCTACACTCAATAACATGTAATTACAGTATGTTTAGGCCCACTTCTGCTGATGACAAGATATTATAACAGTGTACTAAAATATTTTTTAAATGATATGCTCTTATCTTGCAGTACTATGTGTGTTTTCCCACTTGTTCCATGAATACTTCTCAGAATATTTCAAAAAAATAATCTCTATGATTGTTTTGGATTTTTATTATATGTCCATTACCTGTTATCCCTGTTTTGTCACTAATATCCAAGTTATTGTATGAAAAAAAAATAAACATCTGAGCCTCTTATGTCTTTGGGTTTTGTTCATTTGAGATATTACACCATTTAACTGCTATTCCAATGGTTGTACAACTTACATGAAAAAACGTGTGCACATAAAGGAACTTGACTCCATCTTTTATTGCCGTCAAGTTGAACAGAAATTTCACATCTAATAAAAACAAGGACAAAAACTACCGCTGAATGAGGTAAACATAGATGGAGTAGCCATAAATGTATAGAATGTAGATATTTATATAAAACCACAACACAACAAAATGTGAAGACAATAAGACAATAGTGAAGAGTACAAAGGGTGTAGAAATATGGAATTTGTAATATGTTGTGTTTACATAGTTGGACTTGGCAGTTTAGTGTATACAGTGCTTATATTCATATTAGCAGTGATGACATTTAGGCTATATTATTTGTAGCCTATATTAACTATACATTTAAATAGGCAGTGAAGTAGGCCTGCAGTGGATGTTTTAAAAGTGTTATTTAAACTATATGACTGCGTTCATAAGAGTGATGACCTGCGCTAAGAAACTGTTCTTTGTCTTTGTCTCATCTCAATAAAAACGTGTTAACGAAGATAACGTGGCTGTATGAAATGACAAAATACCGTAAATTATGGTGTGTTTTCCCTTTAATTTCATGAGCGAAAGTGGTGCACGCTGCGCGCCCCCGCTCGCCTCAACGTGCGCGCAACCGATATCCAATCGCGACCGTTAGCTGGGGCCGGGCTGCGGTGGTACCAAAGAGGAGAAAAAATCTGACCGTGCCGGGTGATGTGAAAAGTCACAATACCACATCAAAAACAGGGCTTACCGTTGCACGCTTAGACCAGTCGAGGGGATATGAGAATTACCATTTGTCAGAGGGTAAGTTAGTGTGTATTACAAGTGTCCACATTTTTGTTTTGACACTTAGAAAGACTTATTATTTTTGACGACGAATTGCCTGCAGTCTCTGCGCTTTCCCGTTCCGATCTCAAAATGGCGGAGACAGGCCAAAAGCTAAGCTAAGCTAAGTGGCAAAGTTGGCATTCAGAAGAGCGTTAATTTAAAGACTAAAATACGAAATAATCCGATGGAGATATTATTCAAATATACTGAATGTGATTGTCATATTAAAACCAGTTCGGCGTTTCTTGGACATTTCGTCATTTGTACGGGGACACTTGTTGTGAACATTAGCTAAACACTTGGCTAACGTTAGCCACGTCTATTTATGGACGTTCTTTGGGAATGAGCTAACGTGGTACGTTAGTCGACTATGCTAACATAGGTGCTGTCAGCTTGCTGCCATATTTTCTAAAGCCCGGTGCATATTCTGGATTCTGTTGTTGCTAGAAAATGCAATAACAACATCTGGATTTGGAAAATGAGGCGTGTTTTTTGTGGAACCGTCTTTATGTTTGTTGAAAGGTTATTCAAAAAAACAGCGTTGTCTTGTTCTGGTGAATAACACCAAATCGCCCTATAATCAAACTTGGGTTACATATCTCATGCCCACTTTATCGCTGTTGCAATAGACTGTGTTCATGTTTGTGTAGACCAACGCCCTATGTGTGTGTTGGTATGGTGGTTGTGTGGTTGTATAAATCTATTCTGCTGAAACTGACAGCTTCAGTTAACGTCTACGTTATCATGCTAAGCTAACGTTAGCTGGAAAGGGCGTTGCTGAGCCATTGCTGCAACTTTGCCCTTGTGGCCATCGAGTCTTGGAAGACGTCACCCGAGCCAGATTTTTTAACTGAGAAATATGTTAATACATAAATAAAGCAGTATTCAACCAATATGGGTTGTTTTTACGCTTTCTGTAAGGTCTCTCAAGGTAATCTACAGCGGTTTGATGAATCATAATCAGGGTGGAGACTCAAAAGGATCAGTATGAAATACTGGCCATCAACAATGCTGTGCAGTTTTCACTTGCGTTAAACAAATCTGTCTCATGAGCTGCATTTCACTAACTGCCTTATGATTGTTCTATATCTGGCCTGTATTATCTAGCCGTAAATGTGAAAGCCTAAAGAGTAGGTTATGAACCCTTAGGCTGTATAGATATTTTATATTCGCTCTTCTTTTACTTATGCTGTCTTTCAAGGGTTTGCTTATCATACGTTTTGAATTCAATAAGCTGTTCTAGAAAGTACAGTAGATATGTTGTCCCGCATTCCCATATGAAAAGACCTACACTTATTACAGTGCACTATTTATTAATTAAGTCGAAAATGAAAGGTGCTCATGCTATCATGTTTTATTACTCTGACAAAGTTATGCCACTGTCTTGTCACATTTATATTGGACTGTGGCCATTGATAGCACATGCAATATGTTTTAGATAAAGCTGAAGTTACTTTTGAACTGAGTAATGTTTATTGTAGGGCAGACAAGTGAACTGTGGAAGTGTAGGCTGCCAGTTAAAGGGTAAACATGATTTACCTTGACGTTTGATTTGTAATCAGTTGTACTAGCATGGACTTGTTTGGCATGAAGGTCACCCATAAGGAGGTGCGTTGTACAGCAAGCAGAGTCTGGGGACTGAAAGTTTGATATGCAAGAAGAACGAATGTTTGTAGCTGGGTTCGTTGCATTTTTGTTATTAAATCTGTTGTTGAATTAACATTGGGATTGCAAACAATTGTGATATTAAGTAAGGCAGTTTGGTGTTGAGACTTGATGATACATTTCAATTTGAATGTATTGATTGTTTAAGTCAACTGGATGACAACTGGATACAGATTCTTCAGTGTCAGGATTTACAGCTTCTTTGTCTGATATATCATATCAACTGAACATATTTAAATTATTGAAACAGAGCAACTCATTTGAAGATATGACCTTTAGTCTTTATGAAAGTAATTGATTTTACAGTTTATACCAAAAAATGTATTGTATGGTTCATCTCGTAGTTCTTTTGAGAGCAGAGGGGGCATCGGTTTTCATAAGTCTCTTGTACGGATGTAGACAATTAGGAGGCTGCTCCATCTCCCAGTGACGTCTCATTAGTCCTCAGTGGAAGCCGGTAAACTAAATGTTGTCATCAAGCTGCCGATGCTCTTATTGGCCTCCACATAGACTTGTGTAGTCGGCCACACACCGTGACCATAACTAATTCTTTATTTGAGCAAATTCAAATGCTTTTCCTTAGAATGAATGTCCTGAACAAGCTTTTTTGTTTTGTCTTTGACCCGCATTGAGATCTGAATCCTTAACTACTGTTAAAGACCAACTGCTGAAAATGATTTACATGAATGGTTATATGTGACGATCAGGGTTTTTGTCAAAACTTGTCGGAGCCTTCACACAAAACAGACGGGAAGTGGGCGTGCAGGGCAAACATTTGGAGGAGCAGCTTGTCACTCAAAAGTGAAGCTCTGGTCTATCTTAAAGGTCAGCCCACCTGAAATCATCCTTAATACTCACAACACACATTCACACACACATGCTCTTTCTCTCAACTGCTTTGTTAATGCTCCACACAACCTATGAAGAGAGTTATTCCTGTAAGAAGGTCACTTCTTTTATAACATTCTGAAGCTTAAAAAGCATTGACATAAACGACAACAAGAACAAAAATGCATTGGCCCACCAAGGACTCAACTTAGGCCCAGCAGGCCACCACACTTGAAACACAGTGACAAACACCCTGGACAATGATAAGAAAATAGAGAGAAGAAGCATATCCTCACTCTTTAGTAGTTTACATGTTGCTTTGTAAAATACCTAACTGATTAATTAATCAATCAATCATCAAAAAAGGTATATATATCTTTCTGCTTTTTTTATTGTACAGTCCAGCTGAAGATTGGCAGATAAGGGGGGGGCGGGGGGGGGGTAGAGAGGGGCTGCTAGCTCGGTTAATATCCACTTTACCAGGTGATCAACTGGGGCCCTGGCACATGCCTTTTTAATCACCAGCTAACCTTCAAAGGCAAACTTCTGTCTACCTAACCTGCGACTGAGAGCTGACATCTGTGACTTCAAACTCAAATAAAAAAGTTTGTATAGGTTGAAGTCCTAAGGCAACATATCCGTGTATTAACCACCAGGAACTGAACACAGGTCCGATGCTTATTTTACTTAACTCTTTTTTGGGAGAATCAAAATCATTCAAATCAATCATTGCCCTTTAGTGGAACTGAAGTGTTCAGATGATCGAACAGGTTGTAAATAATTCCCCTCCTCATTACTCATGTTTGATAAGCCTGATGCATAGACCTTGGACTTTATGAGTCTCTTGATTTATGATCATGTTCTCACTCTGGAGCACTAAGCCGAGACACCTGTACATTACGTGGGAACTGGAGCACTCTTGCAACACTTGAAATACATTTGACTTAGTTATTTATTTGTCTTTTTTTTTAAACATTTCTCCCAGGTACAGATGCTGGTAAAGCTCTGCAGTCTCAGGCAGGTGCAGAAGCTACAGATTTGTCTTGGTTATGTAATAGTTTGAAGGTTGGTCTGTTTGGGCAAAGGGCTACTTTTGAACCGCTCTGAGAATGATGTTCAGCTAAAATCATTGTCTGTCAGCTCGGAGAGTCACGAATTCACCCGTGAAATCTGAATCTGAAAATGACTATGCAATAAATCAGTTTTATATCTCTATTGTGATGTGAAACTAGATCAAGTCTTAGAATTGTGGTGTTTTAATGTCATAAAAGTGTTCTGAATTGACCAGACTGTGTAGCTGTTATACTCGTTTCCTTTAACCAATAATTCATTATATTCACAAAATATAAACATAATTAATCAAAAATGTCTTGTGTTAATATCTTGTGATAGCACCAATAGTCAAACCTACAACATCGTCGCAATATCAGTATTGAGGTAATTGATCAGAAATATTGTGATATATTAGATTTCTCCATTTCGCCCAACCCCGTTTATGACTACTTTCCAATTTAGCATCATTCAATAGTTTATTGTCTTAAAGAAGTCTGTTGTGTTTAGAAGCAGCCACTGCCAACAGATGGTGAAAGAACGATGCACCAGACAATAACGTAGACTACGACAGTTTGCTGTCAGTCTTCTCTCTGTGTCGGGGGTTAATCCTGTTAGTCACAGTCCCGTCTTTTCTTTACATTGCGCTGTCAGCTGTATGGAGGACTTGTGGTCTCTATCACTTAGAAACACATACACACTCTCTAGGTTGTTTGGTCTGGCCACTAAGCAGCTTAGTCCTATTGTGGCCCCAGGTGCCAGCAGACGCTCAGGAATCAAATCGTCTTATTAGCTTCACAATCACTGAGTGGTGCGTTTTGATTTGTCAGTGGATCTGGTGGATCTGTGCTCTTCTAGGTTGGTCTAGGTTGGTTAGGTTGGTCACATTGTCCTAAAATAAAAATGTTAAAGTTTGATCAACTATATAAAAAAAACTACCACTGTCACTGCCGGGGTTTACCACAGTCACACTTCATTAAGCGTATTGATTACATCTTTCATGCTGTCATTGGAAAGAATCAGCTGCTAACTTTGACAAAAAGCTACTTTACTTGTGCAAGATTCAAAGGTTCAGATCAAGTCTGCAGAAGGAAGAGAGTTGCAAGTCCAGTTTTAAGATTTAGAATAAAAATGTCACTTTATATACCTAGAAATTGATGTAAAGTAATAAAGTTTGTGGCAGCAGTGGAAAGGCTTTAAGGCCAATGCATCAGTAATTAAATGTATTTTTCTTACTTCCCAGCATTGTTTATTCAGATGTTAATGTACTTCCCTACTTTCCTGCCTCTATGCTTTACATAACTTGTTGTGTTACCCTGTTCTACATTTTACTCTTTCATTTTTTTAATCCTGGAATATATATGTATTTTTTTTACTGTCGATCAGTATTTTGTTCTCCTTTCCTTTCCCTCAGGTGATGGCCACATGTGAGAAGTGAGTAGGATCTGGGCCAGTGGTTCTTGTGGAGTCTTGTCCCGGCAGTTGATTGGCAGCAGCATCTCCAGTTCACCTCCCTCTGCGTGGCACTCTTTCGGCTTGGACACCCCCCCACCACACACTTCCCAGCCAGACTCCCCCAGCACATCACCTCCCCCAAGAGGGAGAGAACAGCAGCCACCATGGTGCTGTCACAGAGACAAAGAGATGAACTGTGAGTGCCTGGATGTAAATATGTGTGTGCAGGCTCATTACGCATGCAAACAAGAACAGACACGTAGTGCTCATCAGGAGGCACACTTGCATTAAAGTGTCCGTACATGAAGGCTTTTAGCAATACTTCAATGTTTGACCACCAGCACAGATGTGTGTCACATGTTTTCCTCTCAATAGAAAGCATTGGAATATGTTTAGCTGTTGCTAAGTCATCCTGAAAATGTTATTGCAGACAATGACACAAGAAGTGCATACAAGAATGTGTAATCCTTAAGGAAATGTGAAGAGATGAAGGGGCTTCATTTGATAGCTACTTAGTGAATATTTCATAACCAACATGACAGGGTCAAAGAAGTGAGGGGGATGGGGCAAGAGGAACTTATGTGAGCAGCTCTGTGCCTGGCTAGTCATACGGTATGCATCCATGTCCAGACGTCACCAAGCTGCAGATATTTCATCTTCTCAACATGGCGTACCCGTATGCTCAAGGAACTCCTTGCTGTTGGTTGTTCTGTTGGGATTATCGAAGGGAAATCCTTCTGCCGGTGATGGCCCACTTTTCAATGTCTATAATAGACAGTTGTATCAGGGTTACAATTATCAGCAGTTCAAAGTTGCCCTGAAGCGGCTGCCTACATTTAGCACCGTTACTCATGAAATATTCACCCTTCATTTATAAAAAGAAAAAGAGCTTTCCCACTCATTTATATAACTGGGTGTACATCGAAGTGTGCAAGTCTAAACTTGTGTTTCCATCTGTTGTGGTGTCCCTGTCCTTGCATAGTCCGTACTCCGTTTTCTCTGTATGTGGCAAGTTTCCATAGCAGTACCAAACACAGTTTCCCAGCTCCTTACGTTTAGTTTTCCCCCCGAAGGAAAGTCATTCCTCACGCCACTGAACTCAAATGTGCTGACATTTCAGGCGAAGCTGTGGAACTTGAAAACATTGCGCCCATCTGTTAGACAGGGTGTGGTTAATGGTCTTTTAAGGAGGAACCATTATTTCTGTTAAGGTGGATCTAGTATTTAATAAATGACAACCTCAATTTAACTCAATTGACCTTGAGTTCTACATCCAGCAATTGAATATTGAAATTGCGCTGATAGTGACCATTCAAAATGGGCTGAGCATGTATGCTATAACCTCAGAGGACCCAATGTGTGATTGGTAAACACCTGAAATCTTTCAAGTATTTACTTTGTTTCCCCTTTTCACAGAAATCGAGCTATAGCCGACTATCTCCGTTCCAATGGATACGAGGAGGCCTATTCCACCTTCAAGAAAGAGGCAGAGATAGATATGGTAAGGAAAGAAGGATACACAAAAATGTCAAAACAAATTACAACAAAATAGTTCATTTATGCCAAGAAGCCTATGGATCCTTTTTCTCATTGTACTTTCTTTCACCTTTGATAGAATGAAGAGGTAGATAAAAAGTATGCAGGGCTTTTGGAAAAGAAATGGACTTCAGTCATCAGATTACAGAAGAAGGTAAGTCATGTGTGTGTGCCAGATCATAGTGTAAACTTAATGTGCCTTGTTATTTGTGATGCCATTGCCTAGAACAATATAAATACAAAGACTTCACTTCACCAGGTGGACAGCATGATAATATTAAATTGTCTCCTCTTCTGCTTTACTCGCCGCTCTGCCTCAGGTGATGGAGTTGGAGTCTAAATTAAATGAGGCGAAGGAGGAGATGACACATGGAGGACCTGTGGGTCAGAAGAGAGACCCCAAGGAGTGGATCCCCCGTCCCCCAGAAAGATACGCCCTGAGCGGGCACCGCGCTCCGGTCACACGGGTTATATTCCACCCCGTCTTCTCCGTCATGGTCACAGCCTCTGAGGATGCCACCATCAAGGTGTGTGTGTGTGTTTATACTGAGATGCCAGTTTGACATCGCCATAACTCTTCCCTTTATGAATGGTATAATATTCAGTTTGATTTAGACCGTTTTCTGGGGGGGTCATCTGATACAATCTGCAACACGACAGCCTCCAGGGCGGTCAGTGCTTAATTCTAAATGGAAGCATAATCTTGACCTACTGCAATATTGCCCGAAAAAGACTTTGACATCCATCAATGTCAACAAGTAACAGCATTATCACCCTGTTGTTCAGATTCTCCATCAAGAGGTCCCACTTGTTCTATCTCTCACTGTCAAGACTCCCTTTGCTTTCCTAATGTGCACATAATGAAATATCTTTGAGATGCCATTCTAAGGAGAGCACTGGCTTTGAAATGTGTCTCTAGCAGGAACATTACAGTGATGCTTCATGCTGCGCAGTTTATAAGCTAAATCAGTGAGTGTTGCAGCGCCACAGCGTAGCCTCTGCAGCTCTGACCCTTCAGATCAAAGCTGTGCTGCAGGTCTGAGGCTGTTCTCTCCTTGTATCCTCAGTGCTTCTGCTTCAACACGCTTTCCAGCCCCCCGCCTCCTCCTCCCTTTATCCTCCTCCTCGCTCCCTCCTCCTCCTTTCTTTTTCTGCTTTGTCACTGCTCATCTATGTGGAGATGGTGTGATGCTTGTGTTGTCAGAGGCAACACTCCCAGAGCACAGCGCCATGGGAAACATGCAAATCAGCTCCTCTTTCAACCCAGCCTCCTTCTTTCCTTTTCAGTCATTGATTAAATAAACATCGTCAGTGGATTGTTTCATTTATATAATGTGATTTTAGCTGAAACGATATTCTCTTCAAACTGTCTTCAAAGGCAAAACACACTTTCCACCCTGCACACCATCCTGCCTGTTGAATACGGCAAAAATACGTTGTCCCATTCACACTGAATTGAAATGGGACCTCATATTTAATTGAACTATTCATATCTTAGACTGCACTGTAACTTTTATCCATGTATTTTTTCTTTTAATGTTTATTTTATTAGCTTTTCTTTTTAATGACTGATTTTAAATGCCATTTTCTTAATCTCTTTCATTTTTTGTAAAGCACTTTGAATTGCCTTGTGTTGAAAAGTGCTATATAAATAAACTTGCCTTGCCTAAGTTAAAAAACTAATTTGACTATTAGGCCAATTGAGTTAAATATAATTACCAAAATCTGCAATGTCATCGTCACATGTGGTATTTTTGTAGAATGTACATCTCTGATCTATAAGTGGCTCCCACTGTAGTGCCTCCTTGACTATCGCTGCATGTGTCTGTGATTTCAGGTGTGGGACTACGAGGCGGGGGACTTTGAGCGGACCCTGAAGGGACACACAGACTCTGTGCAGGACATTTCCTTCGACCAGACGGGAAAGCTGCTGGCTTCATGTTCAGCTGACATGAGCATCAAACTTTGGGACTTTCAGGGGTTCGAGTGCATCCGAACAATGCATGGTAAGATATTTACAGAAATAACTTCGGTTACGCAGCGTCCACACGGCAGCTTGCGTTGAAGCTTGCCGGCGGGCGTGTCTGACGCTCGACCAACAACCAATCGCATGAATCACCCGCCCCGGACACACAAGCATGCGGTTTGATTGACTAGAGCTTGTACTGGCATATGATTTGATTGGCTGACGCTTCCGTCGAAGCTTCGAAAGTTGAACTTTTCTCAAATTTTGAAGCGAGCAAAGCGAAGCGACGGAACCACAATGCAGTTTGGCAAAGCGTGACGTCACCCCATTCAAAGTGAATGGGAAGAAGCGTTGAAGCTTCAACGCACGCCGCCGTGTGGACGGGCCGTTCCAGTACAGGAGCACCTGTAACAGGGGTGTAGCTAATACATAACCACAACTGTTGCACTATGCATCTGATTCAAAATATATAGAAATGATAAACTGTTTTAATGTTTCATATGTGTAATAATGCAAAATAACGTTTTTTATATATGGAACCAGAAAATCCTTCTAATAGATTACAGCCCTAAAGATAAACTCTTAAGTTGTACATGATGTTAGCATTACAGACTATCGTCAAGACATTTCAATGAAAAACAATCTTCTTTGAAAGCAAAAACACCTCGAAGGTCAGCACACCTTGAGTTATTCTGGACTTTTGTTAACTCTTGGCGTAACCACAGCCCCTTCACTGTTGGAGCAAGACAAAGGGGTATAGCCTGGGTTAGGAGTTGAAGAATGTGTTCACTGAAAAAAATTGCTACTTACCAAACAAACTACACACTGCCCAGCTTCACACAGCTATAGAGTTACTGCTACTTGCCGTCACACACGCTCTCTGTAGGCTGCATACTCGGCAATGTTATTCTAATGGCGCTAGCACCGTATTTAATTATCAGAATCCAGACACGGTTGGTGCTCAATTATTTAAATCTCCAACTTGTTTTTGACACTGACTTGGAGTGCAGCTGGCTTTGTAGTTTTGTGTTATTATTATTAAGTATTAAGATACAATCTGAACATTTACACAACCAAACTCTTGACTGTTCTCCAGGCCACGATCACAATGTGTCGTCTGTAGCCATCATGCCAAATGGCGACCATATAGTGTCTGCCTCCAGAGACAAGACCATGAAGATGTGGGAAGTCGCCACTGGGTAAGCAACACCAACTCTTATGTTCACTATTTTCTTTTTATTCTGAGCATTGGAGCCATTTTCATTTCCATTTCATGATTCTCTTATTCTTAAATGTATCCATGATAACATTGACTTAGACTAATTCATGCTAAAAGTGTCTGTTTCACGATTTGACTCGCACTGTTTCCTTGGACAGGTACTGTGTGAAGACATTCACAGGCCACAGGGAGTGGGTGAGGATGGTGCGTCCCAACCAGGACGGCTCGTTGATCGCCAGCTGCTCCAACGACCAGACGGTGCGTGTGTGGGTGGTCGCCTCGAAGGAGTGCAAAGCTGAGTTGCGGGAGCATGAGCATGTGGTGGAGTGCATCGCCTGGGCCCCTGACAGCGCCCACCCCACCATCCTGGAGGCCACGGGCTCAGAGGTAGGAACAGCTGCTGCAGGATCTCTTACCTACAGAAGAAGTTTGTGTGTGTTTGGCTCAGCTGGAGAGGTTTCCACAATTGTTTTTAGCAAAGACGATCCATGTGCAGAAAGGTCAGACATTACTGCACTGTTATCAAGTAAAGCGAACATCAAACAGAAGCACTAATTCAGTGAAGCTGTTAAAGCTTCGGTCATCTAGCTAGTGGTTTGATTTATTATAAAAGATTAGGTGTCACATACACACAAGCAGTTTTGACTTATTTTGGAAGTAAAATGTGTCTCAAACTGTTCAGGTAAACTGGCATTTACATATCTGCATTAATGTTTCTCTATACAAGTTGACAGATGCGCAAATAGCTTTGCATAGTTCTTGGAATTATTTCTTTTGAAATTAGAATATTAAAGGACCTTGTAATAGGATGTGTGTCATGGGGGCAATATTTGAATGTATTCATTGCCATACCCAAAACATGTCTGAAAATGACCTATTCATACCTAGGAACAGTGTTTCCACCAGACCAGGGCTGAGAGGGCGTCCACCAGCGTTTCTGCCAGGGGGGCGTCTTGCCGTCATTTGACAGCAATATTAATCATTCGAGAGAGGATCGAGAGTTTTTATCGCTTGAAATAACGAAAAGGACAAGGACATCCCTCTGTTGGAGGGGCAAAGGAGTCTTTTCGGAGTATTGAAGATCGTTTCCCCGACATCGGTGGTGCCTGCTACAGGACAACACGGAGCGTGGGGGGGGGGGTCACATCACGTCGTGTCATGTGACTTGCATTTTGAATTGAGCCGTCCCTTATAGATACTATCTCTTAGAATAGAATATGGAGGGATGAAACCCTCTGTAATGGTCTCACATGCAGAGCACACAGTGAAATGTGTTCTCTGCATTCAACCCATCCTAGTACCAGGAGTCTAGTACTAGGAGCAGTAGACAGCTACTGTACAGCGCCCGGGGAGCAATGGGAGTGAGGGGGGAAGGGGGATGTCCGGTGCTTTGCTCAAGGATACCACGGCAGGGCAGGAGATGAACTGGGACCTCTCCAAGTAGCAGTCCACACTCTATATTTAGGTCTGCTTGGGGACTTGAACCGACGACCCTACGGCTCACAGTCCAAGCCCCTCCTGACTGAGCCACTGCCGGACGTTAGTGATGGGAATTCCGGCTCTTTTTAGTGAGCCGGATCATTTGTCTCGGCTCTCTAGGTTCCCAAACAGCTCTTCATTTTACCACAGTTTACCACGGAGCCTTAGTTTCGCCGCTGCGAGGCTCTAGCGCTCGCAGTTCACGCGCGTGCTCCACTAGCACCGCTCATCGCGTCCAAATCGTGCACGTTCCGTGTTGCCCTTTGGCAGGCAGCGCCGATGTCGGGGAAACGATCTTCAATACTCCGAAAAGAATCCCACCAGATTCCTTTGCCCCTCCAACAGAGAGATGCCCTTGTCTTTTTTCCTTTTCGTCATTTCTTGAATTATTTAATTTTTGTTGACGCCCTCGGCTCGAGTTCAGGGTGTTCCGAGCTGAATAATGGCGTCAAATGACGGCAAGGCGCCCCCCTGGCGGAAACGCTGCCTAGGAAGCATCTTTTTTTAGGACAAACTGCTGTCTTGTCTTTCAGGCAGCTAGGCACTGTTTCTAACATCTTCCCTGTGGTTTTTTCTACAGAGCAAAAAGAGCGGGAAACCTGGCCCCTTCCTCCTTTCCGGATCCAGAGACAAAACAATTAAGATGTGGGACGTCAGCATTGGCATCTGCCTTATGACTCTGGTGAGGACTCTGTGATGATGGCTGTCTCAGTGTTACTGCTGATGAGTGAGAGGAGTGGTGGGTAATCAGTGTTGTCTCTACAGGTGGGACATGACAACTGGGTGCGTGGGATATTGTTTCATCCTGGAGGAAGATTCATCGTAAGCTGTGCTGATGACAAAACCCTGAGGATCTGGGACTACAAGAACAAGCGCTGCATGAAGACCCTGAGTGCCCACGAACACTTTGTTACCTCTCTGGGTAAGAAACTGTGAATAATGGGAGTAATAACGTCTGACATTAACCTGCACTAAAAATTAAGAACCTAAACCCAGACAGAAAAGCTCACTTCTTTAAAATTGAAATGATTGAGATTACCTTTATGCAGCTTTTGTGAACAGATGTTTACCTCTCTTGCAGATTTCCATAAGACTGCTCCCTACGTGGTGACGGGCAGCGTTGATCAGACAGTCAAAGTGTGGGAGTGCCGCTGAGACTGTCTCCGTCTCTCACCCTGTCCTGAAGCCCCCCCCCCCCCTTTCCTGCACCTCAGTCCTGACTCCCCTCCAGCCCCTCACCTCTCGCACTCCAACCCATAGTTGACCATGGCGCTTTACCTTCTCCCCGTCCGCTCCCCTCTCCCCTCCTCCTCCCCTCCTCCCCTACATCGGTCCAGCCCTATTAAGATGACTATTGTCCTTTTATGTAAATTATTCTGGATGTAGGGTACGCTTAATAAATGTCACGCAATCTCTGACACATAAACACACTCAAAAGATAAGAAGTATTCCTTGCATGGTGAATCAAACAAAAAAAAAATTGTGAGCTGTTAAATTTGCCGAATTCGCATACTGTTGTCATGACTTCCTGTCAGGTCCAAAGGGTGAATATCCTTGTGTGCTGGCGCAGGTGGATTCCAGTTAACTGACAGTGCACGGAAAAACCAATGGCACCCCTTGTTGAGGGGGTTAAGGGTTTTGTTTTGTTTTTAGTCCATGCTTCCATTGTTGTGGCTTGTCACTGCGTGGATGGTGATAGAGAAGGTGTGAGGAAAGTGAGCATTAAAGAAAGAGAATGAGTGGAAGCTGTCCAGGAGAAGATGATGACAAGTGGAAGAAAAAAATGAAGCCGATTTCAGCTCCCTAAGTTGAATCACACGAGGTTCTGTGGGCGAGTGCACGTGTACATGTGTGTATACATTGTGTGAGTGTGTGTGTTTGTATATTATGACAGGAGAACCTCTCTGCTGTCTCTGCTCTGCCGCTCAGAGGAGAGGGAGGAGGCAAAGCTTCTCACACACTGTGTTCATTCATACTACTTCATCTCTTTTAACAAAATTGCTTTCTAGTAGACACTCACAGGACCTTAATGATCCCCTAAGCTGCTGAGAGCACAGACACACGGCCCCTAGCAAGTGTGTTTTACAGAGGAAAAAGTCTGCTCACCCTTTATGAGGTTTGTGTGTGTGTGTGTGTGTGTGTGTCGCCCCAGAGAATCGCCCAGTGCCCTCTTGCTCGCTATCTCTGCCTTGTTAACCCATTGAGGGCTCCCTCACACGGGATTTTCATTCTGCTTTCTGTGGTCTCACTGCTCTCTTTACACACATACACTCACAAATGCACATACACGCACAGTAAAAGTTGTGTATCAATATATCTGGATGTCATTGTTTGCAACATAATGAAATAAAATTCTGTAAATATGAGTTATCTGTGTATGCTTTCTTTTGAGGAAAGGAGGTAAAAGGAGATGGCGCAAACTTCGGGGAGTTCACCGTCGCAGTGTGAGGTCGGATACTGCAGCGCTTCAGTTCATGCCACATTAGAAAGAAAGGTGCTTTCAAGGACAGTCTTCCTTTTCTATTTTGCTTTTGGCTTTATGCATATTCTCAATATTTTTGGGGCATGACAACCAGTGACAGCCTGCGGCCCACAAGAATCTGATAAGTTTAAATCAGAGTGAAGCTTTTAAAAAGAAATAGGTCACTTCACTAAAATGTGAAAGCTGCTGCTCCAGACGGTGAATATTATTTATGTATAACTATCTGGCTCTGCTGCTCATGTTTTGGTCTGGTGCTACACTGGCCTCTTAGCATTTTAAAGGAATACTACACCCCAAAACAGCAGTGTGGGTGTTTATTCTGAAGTGTTGGAAATAAAAAGGTTTTACTTGAAATGCATGTTTTGGAAGAAGTGAGCACACTCTTGGATAAATAATTTATAATCGTTAATGATTCAAATCCCTCACAGGATGAGTGATCGATCAGAAGCTGTTATTGGTTTAGATAAAGGCATAGATCAGTCCTGACCTAGTGGTAGTTTTTAGTTTTTGAAATGAAAGATAATTTGGGAGGATGAAGTTGATAATTGTGATGTAGAGAGAACGGGATACATTTTGACAGGTACAGCCCAGTTATTCCACAGCAGGCTCAGACTGGAGAGGCACAGACATCAGGAGGCGGCAGGGACAGATCAGGCCTCTTTATCAATTATGTACGGTACCCCAGCCTACTGTGCTCACACACGCACCTGCTCACTCACCCACACAGCAATTACTTTCTCTGTGCCCTGCTGTATCCTGGCAACTGTTGCCAGGATGTCAAATGTGCAATCACCACACCTTGCTCCGTCCTGCAGGTTTAAGTGTGGAGAATCTGGGAGTAGTGGAGTGAAGACAAATGCAGATGGAAAGTTATTACAGCAACATTTTGTGATTTAAAAACTGGTGACAGGATTAAAGCCTTGTGGACTGCTGAGCTAGACGAGCAGAGAAGTAAGAAGGTTTTCATGGGACCAAATGAAAGGGTAATAAACCTGTCTGAAACTCCTGTTTCCCAACAGAGGCAGTAGAGTAGAAACATTGGCCTACATCCGGCGGCCACCACTCATGCCTGGCACATGCTTTCCCCTCATGCAAGCTATAAAAATGAAAAAGGGGGAAAAAGAAGAAGCTCTAATTTATCTTGTATCTAGGTCACCCATTTCTCTCCATCTAACAAAACTGTTATTGATACAGATGTTTAGCAAAGAGATAACGTGAGAGAAGCAGCAGAGAGATACAAGCCAGCATTGATTCTGATAAACTGGCATGATATGAAGGTGTTTAGAGGTTTCAAGGTCAGTTTATACAGCAGGTCTGTCTGTAAGACGCAGCAGCATTGATCCTCTCAGAGAGGATTGAACTATTTTATACTGCAGGCTGGAATTTCCTAATTAGCATATATGCAACCAGCTACAAGTAGCCTAGTGCAGACCAAGGAAAATATATATGCAGGCTCTGCGTTAATATGTAGGTTTGTATGTCATCCTAGTATATTTTACGTGAGTCCCACTATAGTTTACGTGACTAGCGTTTTAATCCCTGGAAAGCCTGAGGAGGATGATGGGGAGGTTTGGGCGAGGTGTGTTACAGGATGTGGCGCCCTCTAGTGGCAGCCTGTGTGAGAGGTACATGTCCCTATAAGGACAAAACCTGCTGCTTCCTGCACTGTGTGGAGTGGACACATGGATGTCATGGAAAATATAATAAACCTTCATTCGTCATTTCACTATGTCTTCACAATAATGAATAACCTCGTTAATGTGATGACATTTCTATTTGACTCTTAAGTATTGGACTAGGGTTGTAATTTAGGCAAGAACAATTATTTTGTCCCAAATGTTCAACACCAGAATTTATGTAAGATCTGATCATTTATAAATATTTTAAAAGTTCACATTTCAAGGATGTAGACCAAAGAAAGAGGTGATTGGAAGTTACCAACTTTATTGTAGTTTATGATCTGCCTCTTTGTGAGAGGCACACTTTTCATTGTATGTTTTGCACATGCATCAAAGAAGCAACAAATCCTCATGTTCATATCTTTATTTCAAAACCAAACAGTTAAGGTTTTGTTTTTTCATTCTCCCTCCATCATGCCTGTGACTCCACACACTCATTGCTAAGTCTGTCTGATATGTGCTCACTTTCTCTGTTTAAAGTGTCTTGTGTTGCATTGCTTCCTTTTTATCTCTCCTCTGTAGATCCACTAGTGATGCAGCACTTCTAACTGGGTCAGCCCAGTCTCTCCATGCGGTCCCCTCCCCCTCCTCCTCTTTTTCCTCTGTATATTATGCATAACATCCCTATGGACCTTTTTCATGCAGCTCATGTGCTTACCATGTGCATCAGCTAGCTCTTCCTTTTTCTCCTCCCCCTTTTTTCACCTGATTCATTTTCTGTATTGCATCCTTCTATACAGCCTGTTGCAAAGTGACACACATGCATTTTTACGATTATCTTGAGTTGGATTTGTTCTTCTTTTTTTCATACAAATCTTACAAGCTCCTTTCTGGCTTGACAGTCTGGAGGGTACTGGTTTGTATGTGCAGGCAGAGCACATGTCGCGTTGGAGGCAGCTCTTTGATACCCCTGAGCTGCTGTTTTGATTGGTGCAGACCCTGTGATGTGGCAAAGGATATAGAACACTGATTCATGTCCAATCAAAGTCTGTTACCATGCAACAACACATACTCTCCATACATGCATCTGTGTACAGTACAATACAAATAAAACACTGAAACACCAAACATTCATCATAACACTGCAATACGATTTAGTTTTCCCCTGAGGGAGATATATTGCATATGTGAGCACTGCTGTTGCATCGTATCCTGTGTCACAGCCAACATTACTCACAGCAAACAATACTAAATGTGCAACTTAAAAATTAGACCAACATGCACCATACAACCACACCATATGGGGATAATGACATCCTTGTGATGCATATCATTATCTCAGTGAGTGTGACATAAACAGTGGGTGTGAGTGGGAAATAAAAAAGAAATCTGCAAATATTTATCATACTTTAACAAGTTGACAATTAACTTTGTACTTCCACTCCACTCCATTTATTTAATACCTTTAATTACTTTTCAGATTTAGATTAATGATGTGAAATATAATCAACAATGAAATACTTGTTTTACCCCTGGAGTAAAATCCACAAGCTACCCTGCAGCACACTAAGTTATAACAACTAGCTGCACCTTTCTGGCTTTGATAACCCTAATTAATGCATCAATAATTATAATCAAAACATATGATATACATTATTCTGAAATGGGCCAATCTGCATAATGACTACGTCTACTTGTGGCACTTTAAGTATATTTTGATGCTAACACTTTTGTCTTTTTTCTTGAGTCACATTCTGATTGCAGGACTTTTACTTGTAACAGACTTTTCCTACACTCTGCTACTTATACTTTTACTTAAGTACAAGATCAGAGTACTTCTCCCACCTCTGTTGTCAAGTTAATCATCATTTGTATGTTGTGCTAGGTTTTACACCAAGACAGTAGTAAACCCCGCCCCTCCTGCTGTGATTGACAGGTCTGATCCCGAGACAGCAGGGTGGCCAGTCACGCTCTCGCCATGCAAATGAGCCGCGCTCGGGCCGGGCGGGCGCCCATGTGGACCAGCACCATGCCTTGTTGTTCTGAGCGCTGATTGGCTGGCTGGCACCTGATTGTTCTTCATGCGCTGCGGGCCAGCGGCGAGAAGGAAAACATGGCGGATTCATGACCTGGACGGGACTTCACCTTATCGGTTCACACCGGTTCACACAGAGCCAGGAGAGTAGGACACTGTGCACGTTTTTCTCTATGAGTAATTAAACAGTAACATTTGGGAGCAGGGGTGGGAAGGAACTAAGTACATTTACTCAAGTAGGCTACTGTACTTCAGTAAAAATGTTGAGGTACTTTGCTTGAGTATTTCCATTTCATGCTACTTTTTACTTATTTATACTTCACTACATTTAAAAGGGAAATCATCTTATTTAACTCCACTACCTTTATTTAACAGCTTTAGGTATTTTTTACGAAATGCATTTCCAAATATAATAAACTAATGGATTCATTAAGTCACAAATGAGTCAAATTATTTAGAACTATTTGATCAGAATTGTGTTTGTCTACAACAGTAAAATGCTACTTGATGCCACAATATTATCTAGAAATGTACAATTATTTATTGTACTTTTTATACTTTAAGTACATTTTCTGATACTTTTGTACTTTTAATTAAGTACGAGTTTGAATGCGAGACTGAAGCACTTGAACAGTAATGTATTGGTACTTGTACTCAAGTAAAGAAGCCGAGTAATTCTCCCACCCGTTTGGTAGGTATAACTTTTGACTGCTGACAACACCGCGGAGCAGGATGGAGTGATGCGGTCACCGGGTTTTGCGTGCGGCCGTAGTAACAGGGCGGGGCAGGAATCCGGTGGGCGGACCTTAACGAGAACACGACTCGCCTTGTTGTGTGTATTCCCGTGCTCGCATCGCCATCTTGTTGCAATCCAATTTTTTTACGTATGCGTGGATCTACTTTCCGTTCGGTCGGATTAAAAATCGACCGTTTGCTCTCAGGAGAATCACTGGGCACGGGGATCTCGGGCCTGCGGGTGTGAACCGTGCATACGGCGCTTCTTACCAGGAAACTGCCCGCCCCTCCTCGGTCTTTTTCCTCCTTCCGTCCCGGGCCACCGGGTCGCCTGCCGAGAGGGTTTTACGCGCAATGAGCATCGATACACTTTTGGAGGCGGCCAGATATCTGGAATGGCAAGCCCAACAACAACAGATCACACGTGGTGAGTCCAAGAGCAGACTGGTGCATGGTGCTGAACCTACATAAGGACAAATAACACAGCCGAAACTGCCTTTTGGGGGGATCGTATCCCGTTACTATCAGCGACTGGGCTTGCATTTTCATCAGACCCGCCTATGATGAACGCACGCGTTTGTAGTTTGTGTTTATCTGGGTTCATGCCAAAAAAAGACGACTGTAGTCTCTGCAAACTCTCTGCTGTCCCCGACTCATTAATTGTTGCACACATTTGTCTCACCTTAATGCGGAAACAAGTCAAAGTTGTCTCGGAACTACTTTACGCGCACTTGGTGTGTGTGTGTGTGTGACAGTTTCAACACTGTAGTGACTCACTATACATCTGTGTGCGTGTATGTGTGTGAGAGTGTGATGGGGCTTAGCAGAGGAGTTCCTGTCAGTAACCGATCCATTTACATGTTGTATCTTTGTTCTAAAGATACAACATGTACAACTGTAGAGTGTGCAGTATACTTCACTTAAGCTAAAAACACATAGGTTTTTTAATATATTTCAAATGGAGTGATTCTCTTCATCGAAGCTTTACACCAGAGCGTCACATATTTGTTAATAGAGCCCCTGCAAAATGTATTTGCCCCCGTTTTGTCCATCGAGCACCGGCAGGGCGGTGTCTTTACATAATACCCTGACATTGCTGAGCTATCTTATGACACACACTTGGGCGGGCCCTCGCACACTCACCCTTCCCTTTTTGTATTTCTGCACGCCAGCATTAACATTTGTGTTCATGTTTCCAAACAGTTATTACACACACATGCGAGTTGTCAATCGACATAATAATAAGTGACTTAGTAAAAAGCTAGACGAGCAGAGTTGCTTTTTGTGTTTCTCCCTATGGTTTCTCCCCTATGATGACGTGTCAGACAACTCAACCCCCTCCCCCCGCATACTTACCCTACCGCGTGCTAGAATCCGCCCACAACGACCACGTGCACACTGCCCGCCCCCCCCTCCTAGGATACACACACACACACACACACACACACACACACACACACACACACACACACACACACACACACACACTCATCGTCCCCGCCCTACCCATTCAGTGTACTGACAGTGGCGGGTCAGAGAGAGAAAGGGGGCTAAGTAGGGCAGCCTTCCTGCTCACCCCCATCGCAACCCAGCCAGAAGTTACGTAATTTACCCCCACGTGCACTTAACAATATTCAGCATGGCATGTAGGTTGTACTACAAAATCTCAAGCAACATGTGCCGTCAGCAATGGTGTAAAGTTACTAAGTACATTTACTCAAGTAAAATCTTTGAGTAACTTGTACTTGAGTATTTGCAGTTTATGCTACTTTGTACTTTTACCACACTACAATTCAAAGGTATATGGTGTACTTTTACTCCACTACATGTATTTAATACCTAGTTACTTTGTAGATTTGTATTATGGAAATATAATCTGACATCACATTCACAAGCTACCCTGCAGCAATTAAAACGAGCTGCACCTTTACCAGCTTTGGTAACACATTAATGCATCAATCATTATAATCAAAACACATGTTATCAACAATCTGCAGAATGAGTACTCTTACTTTTGGTACATTAAGTATAAGGGAACACACTATTCCATTAGTGGAGCAACATAGTTTGTATTGCACGTCATCGCATTAACCTGTACAGGCCGTCCTGAAGTGCACTCTTCTGAGGGAACATTGCATCATCAGGGGCTGCAGTTTCATGTGGAGAAGAAACAAAAGTGTTACTTAACAGGCAGCCAGCACTGTTGGGATGTGGTGTTTCTATTTTCTTTGATAATGGCTGAGCTGTGTGTTGCATGTCAGAGGAATCCCTGGGATCTTCTCTGTCTAATGTGGCTGTTTCCATGGAAACAGAGGGCTTTCCACATTGCTTTGAGTCTTCCCGGTACAGTTTGCAATAACTGCTCACTTAACACTTACGGTGTGTGTGTTTGCATCTGCATACTTTACATAAGCACAGCGTGGGAACATTCCTGTCCCACGATGTGATTCAAAACATTTTGTTGGTGTGTTTCTGTTTGCAATTCAGTGATGCTTCATGTGGTCATGATGGTCCTGACGTAACTCAGCTGCTCGGTGAGGAAACGGTCAATTCACGGATGGGTGGGGGGGGGGGGGTCTCTTTCCAGTCAGGAAACGGATGCAGACATGATTTCTGTGATTATGTTCCCCTCCGCACAATAAGAATCTGTGATGATGACATCATTATTTTTGTGTAGAGTAGTGCACGTAGTGTTGGGATGAATACAACACCAAAGTGACATCTTCTCTGAATAAGTGATTTGTAGCACAACAATTTAAAAAGTACCTGAAGGAAACTTTAATCATTTGTTGGATTTAGGTTGACAAATTACAAGTTTTTAAAATGATTTGCGTGTGTCTTTGCATCTCTTTTGTTAAGGCAATAGTCCAGTTTATCTATCATCTGAACCAAGAGTAGGTTTCCCATACTGGTTCAACCACAGGACTGTTCTTAATGGCAAACAACATATGTTAACTAAGTGAAAAGTAGAGGTGATGCACGTAACAGCATTAGAGATGCAGACATTGCTCCATTGAGAAGATTGTTCAATAAACCAGGATGTGAGCTAACAAGTGACGAATACATTTATTGTGTCGTGCCTATTGGACCTTATATTGATATATAGGGTGTCACTAATATCTAAAACTTCTTTCAATTGGTCTGCCCCTTATGTACATTTGACTCTCGTCCACTCTTATCCTCTTATCCTCCCTACATTTTTTGGTGTTATCCATTATCCCCCACTGCTCACTTATCTTTCTGCTTCTCTATTTCCTGCTTTCCACAGAGGAGGAGCAGCGCAAAGAGAAGCAGCTCATCAACAGGGAGGCGGAGTCTATGCGCGTGGAACTTGTGACCTCGTTGTCTCAGCCAATTAGAGCCAATCACGTTACTTGGGGAAATGACACTCACCGCCAACAGCCGTATCACCACCCTGCACTCCCACCCCCCTCTCTCCCATCTACTCAAGTCCCCATCACAGTCATACCAATGGTCCCAGTTGTCACTACCACACACTCGGCCCCGCCCATTAATTTCACAGCGCAGATTGCAACGTCGCTCAATGGCTCGCCACCAGCCAAGAACCTTTCCTTTCCTCCACAGCAGCAGCAGCAGCAGCATCATCATCATCATCATCATCATCCCCATCCCACCTCTCCTCACCTGTTGTGCCCCCCCCCACATAAAAGTAGAGACTAGTCTACAGTTAAAGGTAGAGACCAGTCCTCTGATAAAGGTAGAGACCAGTCCTCTGATAAAGGTAGAGACGAGTCCCCTGATTAAGGTAGAGACTTGTCCCCTGATAAAGGTAGAATCTAGTCCCCTGATAAAGGTAGAATCTAGTCCCCTGATAAAGATAGAGAGTAGTCCGCAGATGATTGGTGCTCAGCCCAGCCAATCACAACCTCAGATTCAGATTCAGTACACAACCTCCATCAGCACTAATGGCTCCGGCTCTCAACATGCACTGGTTCCCCATCAATCTCCACCTTCATCTCAGCCACGGTCTAACGGAGTACTGGACGACCTGAGGGGGCTGGAAGGGAAGAGGAGACCAGGGGGGTAAGTCTGTGTGTGTCTGGTAAAGTTGATTTAAGTGTGTTGGTTGGTTAAACCTTTTTATTTAAAAATATTTTATTTTGTGTTTTCAGAGCTGGGACCAGAGAGGTGCATAACAAACTGGAGAAGAACAGGTTTGTCATATTAAACTTCTCATAGTTTAGTTAGTCTCAAATCAACATGACATTATGAAAAGAAGCCCTGTTTTTTTTACCTTGACCACTACATACTCACAAAGTTATATAAAATGTTAGCAGCCAAACACATAGCATTTCCTCAACTGAATCCTTCTCAAACGTGCAACTTTTGGATCATGAGGTCTCCTTAAATAACTAAAACGTGGTTAATCTCTTGTGCAAATGATGGACTTACTAATGACTGGTGAATATTCTCCAAGACAGTAAGCTAAAGACACACGTAGCATAAGTTTGACCCTTTCTCGTTTCTGACTCTTGGCCCTTCAGGCGAGCGCACCTCAAAGATTGTTTCGAGACCCTGAAGAAGAACGTTCCAAATGTTGACGAGAAGAAAACCTCCAACCTCAGCGTTCTCCGCAGCGCTTTGCGTTACATACAGGTAGAGTTTCAAAACATGTTCTTGCTTTTCCAGCATGGTGAGGCTATTGCCTTAACATACTGGTGCTGTACTTTAAATATTTGTAGGTAGCACTGACTTCTTGTTTTTCATCCTATTGTTTCTTTCTTCTTGTTTCTTTCTCTGGTATTTAATTGATTGGTTATGCTCTGTGGAGAGCACAGGCTTTGGTCAGTGTAATTGGTCAACAATACCGGTTTCATAGCTATTAACACCTTTGTGTTTTTAGTCTCTTGTGACTGTGATATGGTAAATGAGACTAGAAGAAAGCAGAGAATAAATCCTGTGTTCCTGAGTTTTTACAATGTAAGACTTTACACATGGACTTTGCTTTTCTTGAGAACATCATTTTGCATAATAAGCATTTCAGTGAGATTATTGTCCAGTGGAAGTTTTGTAACTCCATCCTGTAGTCATGTATTGTCTTCCAAGTATATAACAGAAAAGGAACTGATTGTCCCAATAATGAACACATTGTAAAGGATCAAAGTGGGACATTTGTGGGGAAAGATTTGTGGCATATTGTAGTTGTGTAAATAATTGGAATTGTGTTGCTGGGGGCGGTGAGGTGGAGGGATCTGTGTAGCCTGAAGAGCCACATTTTTCAGTCTTAAAAGTAGACGAGGGAGGATTCTGCATTGACATGATTTGCAGATGGATTTAGTGGTTCGTTTTTTGTGATTAAAGGCTTCATGATTTGAGTGGAACATATGCAAAGGAGGGTCTGTGGAAAAGACAAAACAAGACATCCTTTAGCGACATGCAGGGGTTTGTCTTTGACATGAGCTGATGAGGGTTTTTGACATACTGCCCAACTAGCTCGAAGTTCCCATATTAAGTAAAGGGAAACAAGAAAAAACAAATACCAACATCATAATTGTTGTCGGTAGTAGTAAGGAGTCACTCAGTCAATAAATCAATTAGTTTGTCGACATTAATGTAATGACCGAAAGTTAATCAACAACAAATTTGATAACTCAGTAATGATGATCGATGTCAATATGTAGTATCTGCTACTGCAATGTATGGATGTTCTTGTTATTGCTGTATTCTTTGTGATTATAAATTGGACATTTTAGATTCAAAACTTGCTCCCTGTGGTTCGAGGGAATTTATTTCGTTTTACTATTTTCTGTATTTTAAAGATTCAGCAAGATAATGATGTTAAAAATACTATCAGTTTATGTGAAACCCAATGTTTGTTTCTCTCCTTCAACTTCATTACATTTGAAGAAATGTGTCACACGTGAAAAACGTGAACTAAGATGCCTTATTTGTGTGGAAGTGAAATGAACCTGCAGCATCCTGCAGGGTACACGCAGGCTGCTGCACAGTCTCTCACTTTAAAGTACTTCATTTTTATCCTGGTGTTAGCTGTGTTCTCTGTTCATGAATCACAAATCCAGCCCAAAACGTTTTCATTGGCTGCACTGGGTGCCAGAGTCTGGCATGGTGAATGCACAGTGCCAGACAGGCTTTCACACAAAAAATATTAGGCTTTACAATATCACTGATTTAGATGTTAAAAACACTGCATCACCAAAAAACACACCTTTTTTACATTTCGGATTTCTTCATAAAACAAAAACATTTCTCTCACATGCTGCCCGCCTGCATTTAGTTCATTTTAGTTTAGTATTTTGTGGGTTAAAAGACCGGGTGCAGGGACTGAATCTTACATTTGGACTACAGACTTTTGCAATCAATACAATTTGATTCTACGTAGAGTCACTAACATAGCGGCCAAAGTGCCTACATTTTTTAGCTGATTGTCTGTGCTTTGCATATTTCCCCTCCACCGTCTCCTCTGATAATATAATCAGTTGGTTTTATTTAGACAAGCGACTCCCCCCTTTCCCCCACCTCCCCTCTCAGTACCTGTCCTCATGTAAACCTCAGCCTCTCCCTCTCTCTGTGCCACGTGAGATCTGAGCACATGGCTACTGCAAGCCCGGTGACGTCACCGTTCGAGGCTGCAGAGAGACGGTGATAGGTACCGGCTGCAGCAGCGTTACCATGGTTATAACTGTGGAATAGGTACAGATTTTTGCCACAGCTGCATTCAGACATTTTCTCTGTCTTTTGACCCTCGTCTGTCTTAACCTCTTTAATCTCTTCTTCTCTGTCCGTCTCAACCTGTGACTCCTGTATGTCACTTGGTAACCATAGCAACAGGTGGCAGGTGGCAAGAGCACTGTGGTCCACCCCTCCGTGTTTGTCTAGTGTGAGGGTGTGTGTGTGAAAATAATTAAACCAATCATATTCTGGTAATTTTTGTAGATCGTTATTGGTGATTGAGGTCAGCTTCCAGGTCTTAAAGAGATTCCCTTTACTCCTTATACATTCATACATCAACCTAGTGATGATCACATGTCGGCACAGATGCGTGTGTGATCAGCCAAATGTCATCAGACTTGGGTCATTTTCACCTTTTTGTTCTAGAGATGGTGTCTTTAGATGAACGATAAAAGAGGCATAGATGAAGCAGAGGAGGAGGGGGAAGGGTGTCGAGGGAGCGATGGATGTGGGAGTACAAGGAGAGGGGGTGTGCGATGGAAGTGCAGACGGGGGGGTTGGAAGTGAGCTGGAGCATCAGACGGGCAACCACCCAGTCACAGCTCTCCTTATATGTGATTACCTCTCTGCTCCACCCAATTAGATGGCCCCTTATGTTGTTTTACAAACTGCTGCTCAAGCAGCCAAATCCTTATGGAGGAGGTTGCCAAGGAAACTGCTATGGGTGACAGCTGTTTCCTTGGTGATTTGCTGCAACCTTAATGGTGTCTGGGTTTGTAGACCTTGAATTGATGTTCATGGATGCACATGTGCACACACTGGAGCAGAGGTGGTTGCTCTGTATCTGGCTTCAGATAGGATGTCTGTTTCAAAGAACATCTGTTGACCGTGTGACCGCAAGTGTGTCAGTAAGGATATTCTGAAGTGGAGGTATATTCAGATGTCAGTGTGAATGTGAATTTGATCGATTCATCTACCTGAGGCATGATGCACGGCAGGAGGTGGCCTTTGGGGCGTGATGCGGTTGATCCCACCATGCAAAATAAAGATGTGGTTCTCTGACAGAAAAACACAGATTTTCCAAGTTTTTCTCATGTAAGTTTATGAGTTGAATGTGTTTTTATTCTTGTGAATAACTGACATAGGACACATGTTACAAATTCTGGATCTGATTTGCAGTAATTTCTACCTCCTCTTCACTCCTGAACTTTAAAGCACATAGATGGGTGTGGTGTTAGATGAGAGATGGTGAGCTGTCTGGATTGGTTACTGTAGCAAACGGGGCCGGTAGCAGTGAGGAAAGCAGGCCTGCTGAAAGTAACTGGCTTCGTTCACTGTAGTGAGTGTCCTGTTGAAGAATCATGTGCTTATTTGATATCCTCTCCCTCCTGTATTTGCATACTTTGTTTCTCTTTTTGGTTGTGCCAGTAGGACAGGAAACTGTTTCCGCTATGTTTTCTCAATATATATATACTGTATATGTTGACTATTTAAATAAGATTGATATTCAGTTGACTGAAATGAACAACTGTCTTATTGGGCCATTGCAGTTTAAACAAAAATAACTTGGTAAGGGGAGGAGAGTAATATTCCATCTAAAAATAAATGTTATTTTCACCCAAATTGCCCTTATACGACTTGTAGTAATGACATAACCAGCCGGACACAGCAAAAACCAGGTTTCTGTTTCTGGTTAAAAGCATCGCCCCTTCCTTTTCCCCCCCTCTCCATGCCCCTCTACACCTACTCATTTTCCTCCCTGTACCTCTACCTCTCCCTCCTCCCCCACATTCCTCTCTAGTAATCTGTTAATGTCCTTACCCCCGTCATACTGTTTGGTGTTCATGCGTCAGCTGACCCGCACAGAAACTCGGTCACAGAGACGGCATGGTGGAGCTGGAAAAGCTCTTCCCAAATCTTTCAGTTTAGTCTTCTTTTCTGCGTTTCCTGCTGTGTTTGTCTTCCTAGTTTATTTTGTAAAACTACAGAAACACGTGACAAGTCTGAGCTCACTAATCATACTTTTCCTCAGTCTTATGTGACTGTAATGTTCATGCTGCAGTAATTAATCTATATCAGAATTGTTGGATTATCTTGAACTGAGGTGATTTGTGGAAATGGAAAAAGGAAGGATGTTTATTCTCAAATTGACCCTGTTTTTGGAAAGACAAGCGTGATATCCAGGAAATGGGAGGAGCTTAGGTTGATGACACCAATGAAAGCAGTGTGAACATGCTTGAATTTGCATGCGTGCCTTCCTGTTGCTGTATGAAGTGCAGAGCACAGGGAACATTTTGTTTCAGGATTGTGCAAACTGGTAGAAATGTGGGAGGGGCCAAGGCTGCACAGAGAAAGAAAGTAGATTCCTTTTCTGTCACAGTGCCAGTTCTTTGAATGATTTAAGATTAATACTAGCTTCCTAACCGTTTCATAAACTTTATTCTAGTAGTAACGCTTGCCTCAGATTCAACAGGCTTCCATTTCCCCTCCTGTTTTTGAAAATTGAATCGCCCTCTTTCCTGTTTTATGATCTTCTCCTCTTTTCCGTGTTAATTTGCTGTTGCCTGTGTGAGCTATTAATGCAAACTCCCTCTTCCTCCTTCTTTTTCATATTAATAACTCGTGCCCAGTTTCAGTATTTCAGGGGGTATAATCCCTCTAATTCCCTCAAGCTTTTATTACCTCTGCAAACTTAATCAACAGCAGCTTAATAATACAAAGGGAAAAAAACAAAGTTGTATTGATCAGAACTAACCACATGACTGAGGGCGGTATTTTTTGTTAATAAGAAACTCAGAGCAATGAATGTCAATAATTCTGTGGAAATCAATATCACTCAGCAATAACAATAATTAGCATGATAATGAAAGCCATTGTCGATGATATTGTCTGGCCTTTCTTTGTTTATTCAGACTGCAGCTGAATACAGGCTTGTTTCTACAACCATGTTCCTATCACGGTTTCTTTATTATACCGTGATTGTCTATTTGAAGTGTCTTTGAGTGATTTTTTGATCATTTCTCATCTGCTTTCTGTGTCTCTCTGGAAGACTCTGAAGCGTAAGGAGAAGGAGTACGAGCACGAGATGGAGCGTCTGGCCAGAGAGAAGATCTCGACGCAGCAGCGGCTGGCCGAGCTGAAGAACGAGCTCAGTCAGTGCATGGACGTCATGGAGATCGACCGAGTGCTGCGACAGACCATCCAGCCCGAGGACGACCAGGCCTCCACGTCCACTGCCTCAGGTACAGCGCTGACGGACTACTTCTCACACACATTCATCCATAACTTATATACCTTTCTGTTAACTTTTGCTTTTTAGTTTGCACACTATTTTCTTTCTCCATGAACTGTGGAGTTTCTTTGGGAGTTTTTCCTTGTGAGGGTCAGAGCAGAGGACAGAGGGCGTCATATTCTTAATCTGTATAAACCATAAAGCTCAGACAAACGTACATTTGTGATATTGGCCTATGTAAATAAACTTTGATGGATTGACTTTGAAAACTGATCACAAGAGGTGAATTAACAGATAAAGCTTTATTTCTAGAGGCATATGCAGGCCCAAAAGAGTAAGTGGTAGTTATATTTGAATTTCAGTTTACCTCGGGACTTTGTCGCAATGGAATCTTTTTCAATAACACATTAAGATAAGATGGTACTTTAACGATCCCCGAAGGGAAATTCAGGTGTAATGGCAGGAACAGAACAAGAATGAAACACACATGAGAATAAACACCGGGATAATAACAATAAAAGTAAAGCAATTCAACATTTAGTGAGTTAAACTCCGATGAGGTGAATGTACATATAAAGATATGGACAAGGTTAAGTGTGTATATATATATTGGAATGTGCAGGTAGCAGTGCGGGGGGAAGTCCTATGTGCATACACATTTACTGATAATACACTCATTCTGACTAGCTGGATCGGTTAGCAGTGACAACAGGACCATTTTATGATATTACATTTTTATGTCTTAAGTTTCATTACACGTGCACATACTACGTCAGCAGCATGCCGGTAGACTGCACAGCTGAGGGAGCTTACAACAAACATGTCAGCTTTTTGGAGTTATTTCACGCTTGCTTTGCCAGCGAGTTCTACGACTACTTGCAATATCTGCAAAGTTAATGCCTGGAGGGCTGGCCGTAGCAATGCTAGTTATAACACAACCAACTTAATAAAGCACCTAAAGAAGCATCCTGCCACGATTTGTTTACCAAGTCTATGGTGCACAATTTCCCTTCAATTAAGTTAACATTTTTCAATGCTTTGACTTTAAGTTTGCCAAAGTTAGGAAAGTAATGTTCTGCCTGATGACCCATTACGCATAAAATAATGATCCAAAGAGGCAGCTTATTATTAAAACGCTGGTTTCAGATACGTACTCTGTATCGGAACTGAAATGTAATCAGTGCATCTTTATTATTTAAAGGGGACCTATTATGCAAAATCCACTGTTTCATGTCTTTTATATACACATGTGTACCCTGTGTGTATAAATATTCTGAAGGTTTCAGGAAAAAATATTCATTCACGTTTTTTCCTGATCCTTTTATATAAAAACCTGTCTGAAAATGAGCTGATCAGATTTTGGCCACTTTATGATGTGATAACGTTTTTTTGTCTTGTGTAACCATTAGCCAATCACCAACCAAGGTAACCCCCCCCCCCCCCCACACCTTATCACCTGAATCTCCTCCTGAGCACCATTGTGTTTTTTTAATCAAATATCTCTGAGGGGCGTTGCAACATCGTTGCTTGCTTTAAAAGTAGCACAATTCATAATGCCAAACCTTGGAAAGTATCTAGATATCCCTGCCCTAATGCCAAAGTAACTGGCAACTGAATATGTTTTGCCGTTTGATGTCTATGTCTGGACCGCTGCGTATTAAGGACCGCAGCTCCGTGTTGAGGGTTTCTGCCCCGTTGCTTCTCCGCTGTTTTCTTGTCTCTCTTGTCTTTTTCTTTTCTTCACTGGGGACTCATCAGCCACTAACCATTCATCCAAATTACTGTGCTCTCCAAATATATTAAAATGAATATTTAAATCCTCCATGTTGCTCTTAGACGGTAGACAACGGAAAACTAAAGACAGGCAAACAGTTTGAAAGGCAAACAGTTTGAAAAGCAAACTGTATACAGTTAAATCGACCAGACTTCTTTCTGCAGATGTGATAGTCCTTAACAACGGTCAATAAAGCCTTGACAGCGGGCTGTACTACTGGATTAACAATGTGTCACGTGTTCTGAATTGACCAATCAGAATCGAGTATACAACTAAGCCATGTAATAAGCACATATAACACATACAGATGGCACTATCTTATTCAATGTTACATGTATGTAGACCACTGCATTTACTTGGTCACTTACAACATTCTCTGCAACATTTAGCGTGTTTTATTTTTTGACATGTATATAGTTTACTTCATCTGCACATTGGTCTTGCAACATAATCTTGCACTATTTTATTTCTGCTCTGTTTCTTTTTATTTATATATATATATATAGCTACTGTGCATATGACAATAAAGCCTTTTCCAGGTAGGTTTACACATACGAGGAATTTTCTATGGTGCGAAAATAAGTAGTAGGAGAAGGTGATATATATATATATATACATGTGTGTGTGTGTATATGTATATATATATATATATATATATATATATATATACATGTGTGTGTATATATATATATGTATATATGTATGTATGTATGTATATATATATATATATATATATATATATATGTATGTATATATATACATATATATGTGTGTATATATATATATGTGTGTGTGTGTGTGTGTGTATGTGTATATATATATATATATATATATATATATATATGTGTATGTATATAACGATTGAAAAAACAAATACAGACTAAAGACAAGTATTTAAATATGCATAAAGACGATAATAAAGGCAAGTATTTAAATATGCATAAAGACGATAATAAAGGCAAGTATTTAAATATGCAAAAAAAGCATAAAAAAATGTGTACAGTGAATATTTGACAAACTGCAGTGTATGATATTTCAAAGTGGAGGGCTGTGCTGGATCATGATGACTAACAGTTTCCTCTCTGTTCCACAGAAGGAGAAGACAACTTTGAGCAGGACATTGACGATGATGACCCGGCCCCTCCTGCTCCCCCCTCCCTCTCCAAATCTCCCGTTATACATGCCCAGCAGCTGCTCACCTCTCACCTGTCCATCCAGCACGCCACCCTGCCTCTGGGGGTCCTGACCACGTCCTCCCCCTCCGCCCCCCCTCAAGCCATCGCACCGGCGCCAGGCCCGCCCCCTCCACAGCTCGCACATCCCATCCAGCAGCTCCAGCCCACCGTCATCGCTCATGCTGCCATCTCCCACCCGTCAGTCATCCAGGCTGTCAATCACGGCCTGCCGTTGAATCTCAAGCACCTAACACATATCGCCCCGTCCCCCGGCCCCATGTCCTCCATGTCCTCCATGTCCTCCATGCCTCAGACAATCGCTCCAGGTGCTCACCAGCAAATATCTGCGCAGCCCATCGGACACATCACCGTCCACCCCTTGGCTCACCTGCAATCCCACCTCCCGACTCTCTACCCCCAGGGTGTGTCAGTCTCCCAGCCCACCATGATGGGACACATCACCCACACCTTCACCCATCACACCCTGCCCCACGTCCATGCTAACCCTCAAGCTAACACTAACGGAGCCCAGATGAACAGCACAGCCGTCATCAGCCAGGGGCACCCGTCGCTAGGGAAACCCACAGCAGTCCTGGCCCCCCACCCCCAGCTGGTTGGTCAGGCTGCGGTCCTCAACCCTGTCACCATGGTAACAGTCCCAACCTTTCCTGTCAGCACGCTCAAACTGGCCTGAAAGATGAACAAAAAAAGAAAAGTGGGAAAGATTCTGAACTGAACTTCCGGATGAATTTTCACACTTGTCAATAATCACTAGCAGAGAATCTCTGACGAAACATTCACCAGGAAAACATTGTTTTGTCTGGACCACGTGTGACGAATATCTCCAGAGATATTTCAGTCTCAGCTCGTTCGTTTGTGAACATTGACGCAGAGTCGGTGGGTGAGGCCATTGTTTGTGAAGATAAGACTGTGACATTTGTCTGCGCTGCAAAGACAGGAACTCTGTTTGAACTTCCTTTACACCAGAAGCACTAACATTATAAGCTCACACTCAGGCATCTAAGATTTACCTTTACCATTCATCCACTCATCGAGGGAAAACGCACGAAAGAGAGGGATTTGTTTGTCGTGAGGTTGTTGCCGTGGTGATACAGTATGCGCTTGTTTTTGTGTTCATATAATCATGACGTCACGTGGGACATCCTGGAGAAAAGCTGTCACTGATGTGTTTGAGAGCAGAGGAGGGATCTCGCTGATCCGAATGAATTACAGAGAAGTGTGATCAAATATGAGGTGCACCACATTACATGGCCAGATCTGCAATTACAAAGAGAAAGACCAAAAGAAACAACTGAATCATCTTTATGTGTGATTTCTGTTCAGCTGACAGCTTCTGATCATGTGAGCAAGTGTCCCATTCAACAGTGGAGTTATTTTATCCACTTCCCCTTTGGCTCTCTTTATGGAGGACTCTAAAACAGTGGAATGTTTAAAGATTGTAATATGAGACTCGATATTGTCTTATCTGTTGGATATCATAATATCGGACAAGCATTTTCCTGGTTTAGGCTGCATTACTGTGAGGTGATTTATTTTGTACAAACCAGAAAATAATCTCTGTGAATATTTTTTTAAAGCACTGCTGGTCAATACTAATTGGTCAAAATAGTGTCCCCTTTAAAGGGTAGAAGAAGGGTATAGATAACATGGTTTGCTTAACATACAGAAGCCTCTGTTTTAGTGGCCTTGTGGAGAAGTCTAGAGACAACATGACCTTTGCCTGTTAGTTATTGGAGATTTGATTTCCTTGTAGGAAGTCGACCAAACAACACATTTAAAGGTAGAGCAACACGTTAAAGATAAGCAGTCATAAAGTCTGAGAAAGACTTCAGACTAATGCCGTCAGTTATATGTATAAAGATAGCACATTCCACTTTTGTCCCACAGAGAAAGGCTCGACCATAAATAAATGGCATGTTTGTAAACCAATCAAGTCCTGTAATAGACTGTCTGGACATCAAGCTGAACAAAAATCTAAATTGTCACAAATACATGACAAAGATGAGAAAAAAAACCTTACAACTGCTCTCGAAACACTCAGTGACAGGTATCCTATTCAGGGCTACGCAGGTTTTCATCCTCTTCACTCTAAAGCAACAGCTCCCCCTGCTGCCTCATACTGATGCTACACATGCGCACACACACATACACACATACACACACACACACATACACAACACAATGGGGGCACAATGCAAAGATAATGCACAGGCTTTAAAATGTGTAAAAACAAAGAGACTGTTGAGTCTAAAAGAACTCTTGGCCTTTTATAACATAACACATCTTAACTCAAGTAAAAAAATAAATCCTGAGTTGTGTACTGCATTATATTACATACAGTATGGGACTTTGGTCACATGATTAAATCAAAAATGCTGGGAGGAGTTGAGATGTGGATGAAAGCTCCAGAAGAGATTTGGAAATAGCTCTTTAAGCGTGAGAAGAGTTTACACTTTAATGCCATTTTGTGAAGGATAATTTGGCAGAAATAGGACCCTTTTTGTATATCAAATTATAGCGAACACAAAGCCAAATCTTCTGCTCCAGACCAGAAAATGTGTTGAAACCCACTTGTCTTTGCGTATGTCTATGTATGTTAATGTGCACACACTCAAAATGGCTTCACAGCCTTCTTGCCAGCCTATACATGTCACACCATGAAATCTCCCATCAGTGTATGTCCTCTGCTGTGTCTGTGTGTTATGTCTGTATATGTAACTGTATTCAATATGTTTTATATCCTGTACTATAGTTATCCTACTGTACCTGTAGCATGGCTGTTTTTGGTTCTGCAGTTTGCCCCGTGCATGATGGAGTGTGTGCGTGTGTAGCAAGCAAGCTATTTTTTTACACAGAGGTGATTTATGGGATGAGTCTGTCTGGGTGCTATCGTGTGTGCCTTAACTCAGTTTTACTGAACACTGTGACAACTCCGGCAAAACACGAACACAATGAGCGAATGGAAGAGACAAATATTTACTGTCATGATTGGATTTTTTAAAGTTTTTAAGTTTTCCATTTTGTGAGATGGACTGAGACAATGAGTGGAGAAAGTAAATAAGAAAAAGAAAAAAATATGATCTTTTCTGGATAACATAATGTCTAATATTTGAGTTTTGTAATATTTGTATGTATGAAAGTTTTGTAAATTTGTGATTGTTTGCACGTTTTGGCATATGAGTGTGTGTCTTAAAATTTTAAATTCTTGTTTCTTTTTGGTTTTGTTGCATGTAGATTGCCGCTTAAGTTTCTTTTGTATAAACGTTTTGTTTTTTGTTTCTTTTTGGGACCATGTACAATACTGTATAACGTGGGCAGGATCTTGGACCTCATGCTACATTGATATTATATATGAATATAAAAACATGTTTTCCCTATGGAGAAAGTTTTAAGTTATATATCGCCTGTACACTTTGGGCTGCCTTTTAGATCTAACTGTCCACTGTTAAAGATAACAATGATGATAATGGATAAAACATATTAATGATGAAGAATTTTGCTGATTAAATAATAAAGATTCTTAATAAATCTTATTACATTTACAACACATCTTGCTCCTGTATTTATTTATTTTCTCCTTTAACAACATAAACCATCTGCAGTTTGAATGTTTTTTTATTGAAATGTTTCACTTGTCCATACAAAACATCTAAACCTAAAGATTAAAAATAAAAAAACATAAAAAAACAGTTGATTCAAAAGTAGTATAATATGAAAAATGTTTATACATTTAAGACCCAACTATCACCTCACTACAATGTCCCCTAGATGGCAGCTTTACATCCTTATCAAGGTTACTACAAGAGAAGCATTTGATTAAATGAATAGAATAAAAGTAATAATTAATGTGAAGCAGCCGAAAAACTCTCTTTGGAAGAAGTGAGACCTGAACATCTTGAACACAACCCTTTTTACATTGAGGGTTGTTTCTAATTAGCTTTTTGACTGATGTTTATTCATCTAATTGGATCTCTGGGTGTGTTGTTGGGATTATGGAGTGGTGGCTCCTTTTAACCATAGCACCTTTTTTTCAGAGACCCACAGAAATGTTTGTGTGATCCTGGAGGACCATGATACCAGCCTTCATCACTTTAAGATGGTAAGTAAGTCCATTAAACAAGGACCCTAATGTAAATGAGTTCCATCTTCTTTTTGCTCCTCATGCATCAGAAACGGAGCTTCCTCTGTGTTCCTGGTTGCTCAGAAACCGTCTCTCTGGCTTTGATTCATGTGCTGCTGGACTCTCTACAGCACCTCCTGCATCCTCCTCAGCTACAGAAGGTAAAGTAAAGGGAGTGAGTGTTGATTATGACCTCTGTAACCAAATTAATGAAAGAAGGAGTTAGTAAGAGAAACGTACCGATGAGCCTTTGCGTCTAGGTGTCAGCTGCAGCCAGCGGCAGGGAGGAGTCTGCCACGCTGCGATCCTGATGCATGACACTACAACCCGCAAATACATCAATAAGAGCTGCCTGAGCATCTACCTCCATCATCACATAACATATATATTTTCAGAAATCAATTTATATTTAAAATGACTTGAAAACAAATCCCTCTCCTAGACGCAAACTTGTAACAGGTTAGTGTATTGTAAATAATAATCGAGACTTGTAAACATAGGGATGCTAAAAAATAAGCCATTAGAGAGAATCGTAGGCTCATCGAAAGATTTCCATCAATCAAACTGTGTAGGTGTGAAACCTGACTCCACCCACCTCCATGCGCGTCATATTTGAGATGCACTGGGCTCTGTAATTTTCATAGTGTGTCTCGCCCGTTTGGTCTTTCAGGTCCTGCATATGGGTTTTCACCAACATGTTCCTCAGCAGCAGGAAGTCGGAGTGAGCCGGGTTCTCCACTGAAATTAAACGACAACGTGTTACCAGATCACACTGATGTTCTCATACATACCAGATTAAAAGAAATGCATAAAGATGATGCAAAAATCAAGGTGACGCCCAACAAATGTCCAAAGCTGTTGTAAGAGCTAACCAAAAGAAAAAGTGAAGACACAAACTTCTCTGTAAAACATTTGAACAAATATAAAAGTATTGAGAGTGTGTTACCTTCTACCACACCCCAGGGATAGACTCGACCTCTGACCTTGTGGCCGTCACTCTCCACCTGAACATTACTCCCAATTACTGCAAACGGGATGCTGTCCTGCAGGGAGAAGCCACACAACAGTGAACTGTTTAACATTGAAGAGCCATTCAATTTTAAAGAGAGAAATTCAAGTAAATTGAATAACCTTGAGTAATTGATCCTGTTTTTTTAAGTCTTCATCCTCATCTGAATCACACTCAGGAAACTGATAGATGTTGATCCCAAACTGCTCAATCTGCTCTCTGATCTACAGTACATGAACACATAACGAGAGATTAGAGAATGAAAGAGAGAAATTGACAGAAATACAATTGAAAAAAAGATATCTTCAATACGTGAACTCTCCCTGACTGATGTGTGTGTTTATGATCTCATACCTTCATCTTCTTTCTCTGGACCTCTGCTTCGGTCAAGCTGTCTGCCTTGGCCACTACAGGGACTATGTTGACTTTGTTGTGCAAGGCCTTCATACACGCCACATCCAGAGGTCTAAGACTGAGACAAAACAGTAATGTAAGTGTCAATGCACACATGCAGAAACATCTTTTATGTGCAAAAGTCAAAAGATGTTAGCGTACCCGTGGCCATATGGAGAGATGAAGTAGAGGCAGCAGTGGACCCTGTTGTCCTGGATGTTCCTTCTGTTCAGTCCGCTCTCATCTCTGAAGTACTGTTCGAACTGCTTGTCGATATAATCCTCTAATGGCTTCCAGCTGATGCAAACAAACAATCTCTGTCAGTCAAACAACAACAACAACCCTAGCGTTCAAAATAAAACTTAACTTTTAGATTTTCTATACATCTCCATGTGCCTCCATGAATGCATTTCCATCTGATTTGTGTTGGTGTATTGTATACCAAGTAAAAGTTTGTATATATTTATTTTCCTGCCAATGGTGTTACCTCACTGTAATTCTGTAGTTCCTGATTTTATGTTGTATTAAATGCTGCTAGTGTTGAGAGCAAGTGGTGTAACATAGTATTCATATGAAAACGGTTGATCAAAGTCCCCAGAATTAAATCACATGAAGACACATGGGGCAGGGAGGTTAAAACAAGCGCTCCTGCCTGGAAACTCTTGCTCCCTCAGGTTACTTCACTTAATGAGAACTTATATGCTGCCTTCCTCCCTTTGGGCTGAAGTCCAATAGTCAATTTAGCTTAGGAACCTTCCTAAAGGAGTGAAATGACCCGCAAGTCCCTCAGTGGCAGCCATGATAAGAGCCGTTCGAATTCTCTAGATGATAGGAAAGGAGGTTTCAAACTTCCTTTATAACCTCCTTTAGCTTAGGAACCACTGGACCTCCCTTGACGAAAGGAGAGGAGAAAATGCTTCCTCACAATGCCTTGCAGCCGCAGCATTTGCCGTCACACAACAGTCGGCCGTTCACGGAAACAACCGATTATGACCGAGAAATGATATCATGAAAGTTACGGTGCTTATTAAGCTTTTTAAAACGTATGTGGTAAGTTGCCAAAGTGCTTTGTTTTGAACGTTCATCAGTATTATAATCAAAAAGAGAAATATGAACGTTAGTTTTTACTGAAATGATCAAATAAAGTCAACATCTCACAGTCTTTACTGAGCTGTGTGGGGTTTGTTCAACTTTTAAAAGATGTTTGAATGGTGATGTACACAGTGATAGATGTTAAGGACTAACGTTTATAATAAATACATTTGTATTTATTTTAAGATCTTTTAATAGTTCATACAATCATACGTATTGGGATCATTTGTATTAATGTGGACCGGAGGGAGAGGGTGACGAGCATAAGTTTCACTTTCCTTTTTTATTTCAATTCCAACTTTGGTGATGAAGAATATGTTTCTCTGTTGTCCACGTTCATAAAGCATAAAGCAACAGCATCAGAGCACGGTGCAGAGTCTCTAGATGAGTTTACAGTAGTCCCTCGTTCTTATTGAACATCCATGTTGTAGTCCGCTGTATAGAAAACTGTAGTTTCCATAGTTTCCCCAAAGCAGCAGACGCACATTCATGACGTCCGCTGGTGCATCATAAACACGTCGGATAGTGAAAGTGCATTCGGATTCTCTAAAGTACCGCAGTCTCTTCTCCTAAATCCTTTTGAATTCTCCTATCCACTATCCCTTAACCCCGTGACGTTTCACTCAGAGGTCAAGGAATAGACGATAGGGTTAGACGTTAGGAGCTGATTTTTGGACTATCTGACCACAACCCAGGTCTCCTTTTGTTTGACCTCAGTCATGATGTGTGCTTCCTGTGAGTTTATTAACACTCTAATGACTGACTTATTTAATTATCACACTATATCTGTTGAGATGTTTTGTCAATGAGTATGAAGGAGGAGAACATATGCAGGATAAGCATGTTGATGACCTCACCTTCCTGTCTCGTTGATGGAGTCTCCAAACCCTGGTGTGTCGATGACGGTGAGCCTCAATTTGATTCCTTTCTCTTCGATGCTAACTGTATGTGTGAGAATGCCCACAGTTTGATTGATCCGTTCTGCAGACATATACAAGTGCAAAGTAATCAAATGTGTGTATGGGCAACAAGCCGGACACACACACACATCCCCCAGGGTAAGAAAGGAGTAGTAGCAGCAGTATAAAAATGACATAGGCATCATGTAAATAGCCACATGGATCCTACAATTTATCCTAGAATTAAGGACTTTTTTTAATTTAAAATGCAATTCTTATTTTTTTATTAATAAAATATATTACTTTGGAGAAAACCTGGGCTCATCTCACCTTCTGCATTGGGAACCTTCCTGTCTTTGTAGAGGTCCGTGAGGAACAAACTGTTGATAAGTGTGGATTTACCGAGGCCAGATTCTCCTATGGGAAGAGACAGCCATGACTCTGATGCTTCTGAATAACTTACTTCAACATATATAGTAACACAACTATAACAACAAATAAAATGCTTCTTCACACATAAAACAAGATGACAAAAGACCACACTCCTACTAATCAGATATATCAACAAATAATGGTTAACTCACCTGCCACCATAAGGGTGAATGTGAAACCTTTCTTCACCGTCTTCCTCTGAACCTGGTGGGGCAATGTGGCAAAACCAACATAGTCCTTTTCCTGATCCTATAGAAATAAAACATAACATGTATTTATGTGCATATGATTTGCATCCTCAAAAGCTTCACAAGTCTGAGCTGCACTGCAAAGCATAATGGGAAAATGTCTTATTGATTATGCACACAACTGTCCTTTTAAGGGTTGAGTCTGTTTTTCAAGATAAGGTAAATGTAAGGTTTTCTAAAAAAGAAATAGATGCAAGAAGAATGTAGGATGAGTTCAGAATCATGTACAGACGTTGGAAATGAATGACAAACCATATATAACTAAGGCTCTTCCGAAACACACCTCTGCAGATTCATAGGGATCAAAGCGTCCCCATGGGCTGTGAGGACGTGAGGCCGGGCTGTGAGGACGCTCCATGGACGAATAAGAGGCGAACTGCCTCCTCAGCTGCAGGGGCTGAAACTCTGCGTCAGTTCTCACACGAATTGGTCTTTGAGGGACAGTCGGGGATCCAGAAGCGTAGACGGGGATGGGACGGGGCAGAGAGGGAGTCCCGGGGAGGCTGGGGAGTCTGCCGTTCGGTGCTGTCCCGCTCCCGTCTGCCTCATGGTGGTCTTCTGTCTTGTTCTGTTCGCCAGGCTGAGACACGGGAGGCAGATCCCTCATGGCGTACGGAAACTGAGTGTCCTCCTGGTCCTCGATGGACAGATTGGACAACTGTGACAGGGGGAAGCAGTTCAACACTAAGGTTACACACTAAGGGTTTTATATATGGACTATCTTAAGTCTCAATGGTAAGTCACTTGTGATTCTAATTTCCTATCTGCATGGAAAAATGATGGCCCAATAAATGATTTAATCTTGAGTCCAAACTAAGCAATTACAGTAATGATTGTTATACACTAGATTACATTACATTTAGATTACAATTGTATATAAAGTGACTTAAAATAAGTAATTATTATTGTGTCTTTTGTTGTAGTGACAACCCTTTCTTCACTAATTAGCCCTGGCTTGTGATCCCATTATATCCCATTAGAGGCCTTCATCCATCTGTCAAGGGGCCAATTGTGGGGAGGTTGGGTAACACTAGGAAGGAAGGAGTAGGTTTTTCACATGATTTTAGGGCAAATCTTTCAGTGTGTTGCTTATGCACACATAGCTTGTGGGTAAAAAAATATCAGGGCCATATGACTGACCAAGCGCTCCACACCTGCTTTGGATGGGTCACAGTTCATTTCCCCACAGAGGGACTCTACTGGTTTTCGTGAAAATAGGAGGACAGCAGAGCCTCCACACCTGCTTTACAAGAAATTAATTTTCCCGGTGTGAAGATGGCAGAAAGAACAACACAGTGCTGCTGGCTTGATCAGGGTTTATCTGGTCCCTTTACCTGTCAGCTCTCATTACCCACAAAGCTTTGCAGCAGGCTTAGCCCAGCTTCTAATGCTCTGACAAGGTGGGGGGTGGAAGACTTAATTATTTAACACACACACACAAGCTATTAACACAATCACTAACAACTATTCTACAAGTGTGTCCTACCTCCTTTTCCGAGAAAGTTGCTGTTTTTTGAGCAAAGGACAGCAAATATAAATGGAAAAAATAAATACAAATACATAGAGAATTGTTGTATAAACTGGACAATGAGAATAACAATGCATATGTCTGTAAACAAATGTCCATAATGTACCAATCCTGCTATCAATAAACAACATTTTAAATCAAACCGCACACATTTTAAGGTGACATGACAGAACACTGTTGGAGTATAACAACATTGTCTTTCATAGTTTGTCACAGACGGGCAGGTGTGTACTGACAGAGTTCTAACAACATGTTGGACACAAAAACATTCTTATTTATGCATAGCATCTTATCTTACTAACAACTACATTTCAAAGGCAAACCATGAACCTAAGTTGCTTAACGATAACCATGAATATAAATGCCAAACACGTATATAAATCTCTGCAGGAACATTATAGGCTGCTTTTATTGATGTATCATGTAGCTGAGCATTCAACGTTGCAGAGACCATCGGTTATTTTTGATAAATCGGTGAAGCAACCTAGTTGTGTATAAATGGTGACGTACCTTTCTTAGTGCTGCGGAACCTGACCGGAGACGACATGTGCTGCATGTTGCTGCTGGCTTACACTACAATGTGAGTGTTGCCGAAAAATACCAAACTATAGAAGAACTAATACAATGTGTTGTTGAGACATATGGTGTGTGGTGGTGTTTGTGTGTGTGCTGAGCTCCGGCTGCAGCCCGCTCAGTGTAGCCGCTCTGACGTGGTAGTACCAGAGGGAGCAGCCCGGTGGTGTGAATCAGGCAGGTCAGGATGCTAACAGGTAAGCTACTGCTACAACTACTAGTAATAATTTATAATAAACAATAATAATAACAACAATAACAATAAAAACAATAATAATAAACGTAACAAGGATTATAATTATTACACAGCTGCTACTACCTACTTTTTCATATTGATGAACATTGCGCCAATCCTATGACATTTAAGCTAGTTTCCATCTCTTTGGCCCTAGGCTAAATTAACCCACTTTAGGACTGTTTTTTCCGACATGCAATAGGAAGAACCTTCGGATAAATCGTAAACTTCACCTCAGCGTGGTTGTCCATGTTGTCCCTGTTAACTTTTTAGCTCGCTCTTATTTATTAACTTCTCAACTGTTCACTTGAATGCTGAGTTTATTTTTGAAAAGTAACGGCGGGCTAGGTGCCGTTAGTCCTCGATTAGCCCTTTGTCATGTTTACAGATGTTTCTGTTTAACATTTTACCAAGGTCGTTCACATCAGTATATATTTCTTTTTATTAAATTACAGTTGTGCTTTTATATGTTCACAGCTCAGTATTTCAGACAAAGTGTAAAACGTTTAAACAGAAAATACACAAGGCATTGAGATACATAATGCACAGAGCAGTGTATTTTACAGTACAAAGTAGGGCTGCTCAATTAATCGTATTTTAATCGCAATTACGATTTTGGCTTGCAACGATTATGAAAGCAACATAATCGAAATTAAACGATTATTTTTTTTAATTTATTTTGTTATTGGTTTTTCAGTTGAATTATACTTAAAGTTCAACTGTTAAAAACATACTGTTCACATATTTTTTTTAAATAAATTGATATTTTCAAAGTAAATGGATAATCGTTTTTTAATAATCGTGACAGGCCCGGTTCTACGGGGGTGCATAAGGGTGCATTGCACCCTCAGTTGAGTCGTTATGCACCCTCATTTGAAAAATTAAAAGTGAAAGATATTACATATATAATAACAATAGTAATAGTAGTAATAATAATAAGGAGAAGAAGAATATAGTTGAAATAAAATAAATTGTAATTGTGGTTAAATAACATTGTCTGCTGCATTTATTTGGTCAATTTAAACGGCAAGTAACGTTATGTCAGGTGCGCGTGACCTGTGCCGCTGCGCGTTCGTCATATGCAAGGTGCTTACACTTACACAGCAGTCAATGATGGACATCAGAAAATGGTTAAAACAACCATCCCTTATCGCCAGCAGTAACACTGCATCTACTGCAGGTAATAACCGTCCAGATCATGGGGACATTACGTTACCCGCGGCCACTGTCGTGGACACTAACGTACTCCCGCCCGCCTCGCCGGCTTTGCCCGCCTCGTCCACGGAGGCGGAGCAGCCGTCTTCGTTGCCCCAAACACGCCACCCCTCGGCGGCCCGCAAGAGGACCTCGGCAAAACAGAGCCTGCCCAGGTATATTTAAAAAGTACCTAACTCGCCTGTACAGTGGGGTAAGGCGCTCATTTTGCAGCTCATGGTTTCAAAACAGAGATTGGCTGGAATATTCATGTGAAAAGATGCCATCTTCTGCTATGCCTGTAGACATTTCGGTCTTAAAAGGGGAGTGATTTGTAAAATATCCATAAAGAAAAATCTGTTTACAGTTCTGTTTCATATGGGTGTTGAGAGATGTATCTCTTCATCTTGCTCTCAAAGTGCACCAGATTGATGCTTTTAACTTCAATATTTATTTCTTCCCGTTGGAGCATGATAATTTCAGATTACCACAGATAGTATCGCCTCATAAAGGTATTCTGGTAACAGAAAAGGAATTAAATGAATCTAAAATCAATCTTTGAAAAGCCAAGGTAAGTAGGATACTATAAATATATATTTTAGACATTTCGAGTTAAAATCTCTGATCTATTTATAAATAATTTTCCCAATGCATCTCACATACACTGAAAACAGATAATGTGGTGTCTTAACACAAGGACCAAACACCAATCACACATCTCTTATCAGCTTGTTTTGGTTATTTTAAAGTTGGTCATGAATTTTGTTCTGAGTGCCTTTCTTAATTGCCTTTCTTAATTGCCTTAAGCTGTATGAACCATGTGATTAAGAAAAGAGACATTTGTAGCACACAAATGCAAAAGTTATGTTTGAGGTAGGCTATCTAAGAAACTGTGTCGCCAATAAGTAGTTTGTCTACCAGAGAGAAATCTTTTTCGGTCATGTGCTTGAATACATTTCGGACATTGAGTTAAAATGTAACTCTGAAATATGAACGAAAGCCTGTATTGTGGGGCTGTGGTTGAAATCACATTGGTTTACAGAGCAAAATGAGTCATGCACTAGCAGTTCTCATGAATCAACATACACATCTGTTTAGCTTTTAATGTAAAATATCACATATACTTGCAATGTTATGCCTCTGCAGGTTCTCTGTATAACTTAAACTATTTAATAACTCTCCCAGTCATTTTAAAAAGGCACAATTGTCTTTTAAAAAAAATGTATTCCTGAAAACTGTGTTTCGTCTTGGCCATCAAAAAAAGCAGTCAGAGAAAAGCGCTGTCCTCTTCAGATCTGTCCCACAGCACTCTGCATGTCCTTCTCTGCCTGTTAGAGCGTCCTAGCGAAGTGTTGACCTGCAGTTGTTGTGAGGGCTCCTCCTGGACTTCTGGTTGTCCTGAGGGGTTATTCCGTTCAGAGGATTTAGACCCATTTTCGCCTGAGTCTACGCTCGTCGACTTGCAACACGTCTTGCTCTTCTCTTGTGAGTGATCCTTACATTGTCTGCTCAAACAGGAGTGGTTATCCTCTGGTCTCATCTCATGGTTGTCATGCTCTTCATCCGAATGTCTCTCAGGTGTGCTATTTCGATTTTGGCTCTCGGTAAGGTGATTAGGCTCCGTGTGGTTATTTGCATTGTCTGAATGTAACTTGGCGTCAGGGCTGTGTCTTTGTGTCTGTGAGCACTGGGTTTGTTCATGAGAATCAGGGGATTTATCCTGGTTCCTGGTTTGGTTTTGGTGGTTGTGGTTCATCCAGAAGCCTCTGCTGAGCTGCTCTAACTCAGAGAGCTGAGGCAGCCCGATGTTCAGGTGCATCAGCAGGTTCTCCAGCCACTCCTCCAGCTTTGAAAAGGAAGGACTGAAAGACAACGAGTTGTAGTGAGAAGCTAAAGGGCCCTCAAATGACATATTACTAGTAACCTATTCTGCACTGTAGTAGTTTAGTTTGTGTAATGCATTACTAAGAACACTATTTGCCGTCTGTTTAATGTATGTGTGCTCATACTTTAGTTTTGATACAGTAAACTTTCTACACTCTACAATCAACTGACCAGAAAACTTATATATTTACATTTTAAAGTGCAGTTTTCTACTGATCTTTAAACTAATTCCAAAAAATCCTAAATATAATATTGCAGTCCTTTGTGATATGTTTATCATGCATGTTAATCGCTCTATAATGGTAAAAACAAAACAATATGTTGTTCTGTATATAAATGATGTTGAATTGCAGTTTCTTTATAACATAAACCACCACTTCCTCTTATAATGAAACGCCTATTTGTTACATTTAAAGTAGTACCGTTACCTGTTGTTCTCAAACTGAAATATACTGAATAGCTGAAATGTGTTTTGTAACAAAATATAAAACAGAGGCAGGCTACTCAATCTTACTGAGCAATATTCAAACATGAATATTCATACAATGCTTTATCAATTTAGATCTGTGGTTTTACTGGATTTGTGCGTTCATACCGTTTTTCAGCGTCCATGTCACAGCAAAGTACACCCAGCGGCATGAAGGCGGGGGGGGCACTGAGGAGGGTGGTACTGCTGCAGGAAGCCGGACACATTTAGCCCAAAGTCATTTGACCGGGGAAGGTAGTCGGGGTCAGCGTTCACTCTACCTATTATCTTGAGAGAAACAGAGAAAGATACGTCCTTAGCTTCACAATGGATAGTGTGCTTTTACATTCAACAGCACATTTTTGGAATTCTTCAAGTTCTTACCTCACATATCATGATACCAAAGGAAAAGATGTCCACCCGTTCATCATAGGTTTTTCCTGAGAAGTGCAGAGGAAAGATTGCAAAATGTAAACCAAATCTTTACTGACCCATTCTGTTTTCAGGGTTTTATTATTGGACTTGTTATTTTACCATAGAATAATAGTATCGGGTATCCTACAGGGTTAGTTCCTTCTTTGCATATTTTATTAAAGTGCAGCACTTCTTGTATCAAGAGGCAGGTTGAGGTTAGTCATAGAGTATTTATACCTTTGTCAAACCGTTGTGGTGTAGACTAGAGCATATGAGAAAATAATATATCTTGGCAAATTGCAATTCATTTAGAAGCATATTGTTAAAAGGAAGCAACATTTAGTGTAACATTTCAATCCAATGTGAATCTTCACACAAAACGCTGTGAGGTCTCGCATGATTCCCAAAGATCGATTACTCATAGTCAGAAATATTTAAACATTGCCTTAAAAAATGCCTCCTCTAACACAGAATTTCAAAAATGAAGTCCAGGCTTCCGAAGAAATTCATAATATTGTATATTTGTCTTGTTCCATCGACTTCTAACAAGCAGAGATTAACAATCTGTCAATTTGGGCTCAGGTGCCCGGGGGTCCTTGATAAAGAGAGAACTGATGGCCTGGATCCATTTGCACTCACCACTAATCATCTCAGGGGCCATCCAGTAGGGGTTTCCCACCACGGTGTAGCGCTTCCTCCGGTCAGGCCTGCGGATATCTGACAGTGTTCCCTTAGGAGGCCTTTCCAGAGAAGAGGTTTTGCTCTGATTTCTCTCCTCCCTCACCAGCCTGGCTAGTCCAAAGTCTGCCACCACCACAGACTGGTTCTAAACCACAAGAAAGAAATGTTAGGAACGTTTATTTTGGGTTTAGGTCTGTGCCCTCCTAGTTTCTGACGTGTTTGTGCATCACAAAGTGAATATGAGTGTGTGATGGAACCACTTTTTTACCTCTCTGACCAGGCAGTTGTGTGAGTTAAGATCTCGGTGAATAACGTTCATGGAGTGTAGATAAGCCTTAGAAGGAGAAACGTTGTATACATTAAGGAAAGTTCGTACTAGATAAGGGAATTATTTATTTGGGATATTATTAATCTTGAAGGACTCACCATTCCAGCTGCAATGTCTTTAGCATAACCCACTCTGACACTCCAGGGAAAATCTTTGTCCTACAACAACAAGAGATTCACCATCATACTGTGTCTGTGAACCTTGACAGAAACACTAAGCTTTTTCTTAACTTACCATTTTAATGATGGTCTCTCTGAGAGTTCCTCCCTGGATGTATTCAGAGACAAAGTTTATCCGTTTGTCTTTATAAAACAGTCCAATGAACTTTAGGACATTGGGATGGTCCATACAGCGCATCACCTTCACCTGAACACATTGAGAAGAAACGTAGTTAAACAAATACTTAAGGCCATTGTAGCAACGTGAAAAATAGCTCTAATGATAGTGACCTTTTCACCCTCTTGATGATGTCAAATAGATTTTAAACCATGCCAGGGAATATTCATGGTTGGTTGAGAGTGTGCTTTGTGAGGTCACCCATTTGAAATGTTATCATTTCCCATTGAATGGCCAGTTGATATAACATTGTAATTCTCAGATGGTAAGAATTAGGAAAGTGAAGCCTAACAGGTTCACTTGTATGTAGTTAATGCTTGTGTACATTGAAACAAAGAACAACTTGTTTTAGCTTTAGGAAAATATTATGACTTGGTTACCTAGCTTACCGATGCTACGTACATATATACATGTTTTGACTTCTGGTTTACCAGGGGACACACAAAGTCTTATTATTTAGTGTCCTTTGTTTGACCCAAATGCCACCGGTCTACCTCTACAAACTCAGTCTTAATACTATTTCTTCCTTCGCTGCCGTCACAATTACTGATGTGACTAGAGGAGGTGGAGTCTTGGTACTTGTATCAGTCATCAACCTTTCAAATAGATAATCACAGCAGCCTTCTGAGCCTGCTAGTCGGTGTAGCAGGCCCCATCTTTATCTCCAAACTAAATCTACCTACGGGTACTAATACAAATAACCTGAACCATCTGACCATCTGAGTCTGATAATGCCTCCAATGGTGTTGACTCCCTGCTTTGATGACCACTTACTTCCTTCAAGAAAGTCTTCTGCGTCTCCTCATCAAACCGTATCAACTCTTTCATCACCATCACCTCCCCTGTCTCCTGATGTGTTACCTTGACAGCAAGAGGTTATTCAGAAAGCTGATTAAAAATACTTGGTGTCAGTTTTTACAAATTATAGGAGAAAGTCATTCATATTTTATGAAAGAGACAATGTGAAGGGAAAAAGTTGTACCTTGACAGCCTGTCCAAAGAAGCCCTTGCCAAGCACTTCTCCATGGATGAGGTCAGAAGGTCGGAAGATGCGATGAGTCCGATCTCCAGGGTCCGCACGAAGAGACTCGGAGCGAACCATTTCTCTTCTATGAGATAAAAGTGACAGAGCTCCAGGGGACAGAGGACACTTATCTATACTACAGCTGCGCCTGAGAAAGAAAATAGAGACTCAGTCAAAGAAAATATAAATGAATGAGCAATGACTTAAGAAAAGATGAAATACATGACTTACAGAATGTGTCTAGATCTCATTCCTTGGTGCTCAGGCGGTGAGAGGCTCACCCTGATTGGTTCATCTGTCTCCCCCCCTGGACTCGGCTCTTCCTCTAGACTTGGGAGTTTATGGGTTGAAGAAAGTTTTTCACAGACACACGGTTCAGGACAGCTGACGTTGTCCGGGGGATCGTTTGAGAGAGGAGGGTCATCAGGAGACTGTGGGTTGTGTTCAATGGTCAGCTGCAGCGGTCGGTTTGTGTCCTGGATCACACAGTTTATCTGGAGGCAAGCATATGGTGGTGACCTTTGTGGACATAGTAGTCTTTTTATTGTTTTCTTGCAGATACCAAGGAGGAGTGTATCTACTTCTACTACTCAAACATGATTTATTTTGCATCATTTTGAAAGATAACATAACATGGTATTGGAAGGCTTCTCTTTCACCTAAGAGAGCATAATGTCAAAGGACACTGAAGGAAGACTCAAAAAAGATTCAATAAAACATAGAATAAAAATGTGTATAAATAATCTTATAAATTCCACAGTAAAAACAGCTTAATAATAATAATAATAATAATAATAATAATGATGACAGCAATAAATATAGTAACAATATTATTTGTATAACTTCACCTAAAAGATCTTGACTTGAGAAATATGCAAGACTTCTAACCCATAGTGTAATTACTTCTCATTTAGTCATGACATTATGGCTGAAAATGTGTGAGGTTTGAGGCCTACCTCGTCTGGGGAAATGTTGAGGACGGGGATGCCGTTTACCTCCAGAACCCGGTCCCCCATGTGGACGGAGGACAGCAGCTCAGGGCTGAGGGTGGAGGAGTCTAACCTGGGGGAGAATTACAGTGAGGAAATTGTTGCAAGCTAAATGGGATAAGACAGAAAATTAGCCAGGGATTTTAGATCAATCTTTAGGTTTAGTTGTATTTCAGCGCTAATTAAATGTCACTCTTTGTCATGTCTTAGACTCACCCTGTCACGGTGACGAGAGGGCCTTTCTCCTGGCTGAGGTCAGTGGCTACAGACAGGCCTCGTCCAGCATGGGGAGGGAGAGACACCAGCGCCACCGTGTGTGGACGCTTGGTGAGGGAAGAGGCTGACCTCGCAGCGGATACTTCACCCGGACAGAAGCAATGGCCACTGCAGAACAAACAAAGAGGTAAACTAAGGACACTCACCAGAATCATGCATCTCTATATGTATGAACAAGAAAAATATATTTAGTTTCAGAAATGTGTTCAGGCTTACTCTCCACATGCAGCAAATCTAGTTCTTTGCATGATTTCTTTCCTGTTGGCTTCAAACTTACCAGTAGAGTTTTGTGCGCTCGACGAGTGTGTAGCTGTCTCCATCTCCAATGAACATTTCACAGCTCATACATGTGAAGCATTCAGGGTGGTACTTCTGCTCTCCAGCCACCTGTTTATACAGGGAGGTATTGGTAAATCACACAAAGCAGACATAATGGGCATAATATTGTTTTTTGCAAGATGATGTTTGATGGAGTGAGATTTTAAGAGTTCTCTGTGCATCAAGGCATTGTAGTGTCAGGATGTTTTCAGAGGATATCCTCTTGTTTGAGTGTTGAAAGAAAACAAACATTTACTTTCATTCCAGGAACAAACCAAGAGACAGGAAGGCTTTGAATATATGAACAGTCGGTGTAGCATGCTGAGGCTCTGTATGTCGGGACATTTGATCCTGCACATTTCTTGTCATATTTCTGTCTCTCAATAATTCACATGTACGGATTTTGGTATTTGTCTGGCCACTTCTCTGTACAAAATGGAGGCTTTGAATGATCAATAAAGCAGCTATTTTTAAACTAGCTCACCAACTATCAATCAATTTGTTACAAAATGTTTTGAAACAAGTAAGCAGGGTTTTTAAATGCGATGTTGTGAATAATATAATAAATTGTTAGTGACCACCCTCAAAATGGGGTGTAATTGACCCATAGGAGAACTATGTTATAGTAAAAGTCACGCCTAATGGAAATAACTCAAATTAAATTCATGACTTTTATTACATTATTGTACACGGCTTGAATCCTCCCTTTCGCATATGTATTATTAATTTCTAATAAGTAAGGATTTTCTTCCTATTTTCAGGGATTATAATGTTACCATGATGAGTCCTGTTGCGATGGTGTCTCTGCAGCCGTGGCAGTGCTCTCCATAGCGGGCCCAGTAGTGCTTCTTGCAGTAGAGCTGTCCCTCTTTCTCATAGTACCAGTGAGACAAGATGCAGCCACATTCACAACACCTAGAGAAGCATGGGAGCAGGGAATAGACAGAGAAGAAGGGCGAAACAAGAGAAAATGGAGAGTAAGATGATGGATACTTCAGAGGTGTGTTCGAGCAAAGTAACGTGATCCTCATCAGGGATTGAACGCGTGAGACCTGTGAGGAAAGTCGACCTGTGAGCTTGTCACAAACGCTATCTGGGACAACACTTCCAGGTCAGTTGGACTATAAATGCTGGAGTGAAGCCACTTGTTTTTGTTTTTCTTAACACAGTCTTCTATGCCACTGATACCCATCTCCTATCCTCTCTTGAACTTGCTTACCCTGCTCGTGTTGAATGACAGAGGGATGCTTTTATTAGTTACAAAGTTGCATGGGACATCAAGCTGCTGGTGTTTCTCAGCACTGGCCTGGAGGAAATAGAGTTATCTTCACCACAGGGATGGTGTTGGAACCATGTCTTTTCATTGTGAACTGCTGATGTCACTGTGACAGAGAGTATTTAGTCAAATGCCAAATTAAATTTGCTTCTTACAAAAGGACTACTCATGTAGGCTCGCTGATCAGTCACATGTCTAAACTTAATGTTTTTTCCCCATCAGCACACCCACTCGTATATTGCAAAAGAGAGCATAACAAAGCAAAAACGTTGCAACAGTTTAAAAAGCATTAGTTCTCTAAATGCAGTGCAGCATGCTCACTTTTGGTTCTTTTTTAAAATCAGCAAAACAACTTTCAATGTCATTCCGGCCTCAACTGAATGAAGAATAGTACCTATTTACTACAAAAACCTGCTTCCTTATTTCTTCAACACTACAGCTGCAGTGGGAGGGGACTTCCTGGTCAGAGTACAGATCCATGTTTCCTCTCTCCTAACCTCAACTGTAAACGCCAGGCTGGTCTTACAATAGAATGAAAAGGTGGCTTTTGTATTAACAATGAAATAGTTGGAGAGTTTCCTCCAACATACTGTAAGACAGACAATTAATTGCCAACTATTTTAACAATCGATGAACCAGTTTGAGTTATTCTTCAACAAAAAATATATCCAATTCTCAGATTCCAGCTTATTAAATATTTATATTTTATGTGTTTTTCCTACCACTTATGAAACTGAATATCTGTGACTTGTGGACAAACAAGACATTTCAGATAGTCAGGTTTGGCTCTGGAAATAATGATCTTTTTGTACGCTTCATAGACTTAACAATTTATCTATTGAAAGAATAATCTTAAGATTAAATAACAAGTAAAATAAGTTAGTTACAGCCCTACTAAATACTCAGAACCCCTGAAAAACAAGACATTTAAAGACACTGGACTTTTAGAACGTGACTAACTATATTCTGACATTTTGTAAAATAATTGAATAATCCTGAATATAATAATCAGACCCATCAATAATGAAATTGTTAGTTGCGGCTCTTAATACAATGTTTGCCGGGGATACAGTGCTCTATAATAAGTGTCTGTTAGACCTGCTTTTCATTCATTATTGTGGAAATAATTAAGTAATAAAGACAGCTGCAGTTTTACTTTTGACCTTTTGTCTTTCCTACTGTGCTGCTGGCAAAGGATGTGGAAGGTCCCAGCTTCACATCTGCTATTCCATCTAAACATCTGGTCGTGACTCTCTCTTCTGCCTTATCCCCACACAATCCTCCCACTGACATTATTCCCCTCATCTCGCTTGTTCTGCATCTTACTCTTATCTTTAGCCACTCATAACCCCTCTGAGATCTGTCCTTGTGTCACTAAAAGTGGACACACCAGCACCTGGTGCGCATAAAACAAACATGTTCGGATGTCAGGACGTTATGGTAGGTCAAATGTTACAGTAAGAATCTGATGACGTCTTCTCCTGTTATGGTTTCCTCCTCTGTCTGTCGCCCTGCAGGGTTTCCTTTAAAAACAGTAGTTCTTAAAAGGAAACACTTGTTTTTGATGTCATTTCTTTGGGTGTATCAATGGTGATATGTATGGGTATTTTAAAATACTTGTTGATGGAGGGAGGCGAAACAAACGGGCATCCACCAAAACAAAACAGTTGAGTTATGAATACGACAGCAGGCTGCTTATATGACAAAGTATTGACGGTGCCTGCTATGGTTTCATTAGCTACTCCTAAACATATCTATAGATGATGTAAAAGTAGACAGAAAATCCAAGAGCAGGTTTCTGGTGTGTCTGTGTGACAGCAGAGGGGTTTGAGGAAGTACCGCAGATGTTGAACTACTCACTCACATATCACATAAGTTGATAACAGTGTTTCTTACCGTCCTTTCGTTCCTCTCCGAAACCTCTGGTCCCGGCGTGACATTCTGCCCTGTCAGGTCGGACAACTGTCCCCCAGAAACAATCCCACAGTGAAGAGAGGAGCTTTTCCGCTGCGTTCGTTCATGAGCGGATCCTAATTGTTCTGTGCTGTGACCGGCAGCAGGCGTTGTCTGTTTTTTTGTTGTTTTGTACTCTCTCTCTCTCTCGCTCTCTCCATGTGCTCAGAGGCTTCCTGTGCGTACGATTTCCCTCTGTAGTGCTCAGAGTCGCTGTGTGAGAAAAAACCCTGACCTATTGACACCATCTTTCCCGTCTCCCTCTGCTGGCTGCCGGGACACACACACATCCCAGTATAGAAGTTCTTCTCTGAGGTCCTTCTCCTGTTACTCTCAGTATGTAGACCACTGCAGATACAGTTACACTCCTCAGCAGAGTCCACAGAGTTTGGAACTACATGGGTGTTTATGAGTGTGTTTTTCTCAGAAGTAGTGTGAGAGTCAGTGAGTCTCTGTTTTGAAATGAGCTCTGTTCCCATCAGGGCAGACATCATCTCTTTATGAATGCCCCAATTACCGCACTGTCCTGATCCTACAGAACAGCGCTTTATTCATCAGACACAAGAGGGAGACTCAGTTAAAGGACAAGCATGGGGAACAGCTCAGAACTAGGAGCAAAAATATTGCCATTATTCATTATAAAGTAACAAATATATAAAACTCAGGTTACCGATATGTCTTCCATTGTTTATTCTCCATCGCTGCTTTTGTTGTTTACCCAATTCTTTTAATACTTTAGGGCTGAAACTGATGATTATCTTCAATTTTAAAAGTCCATTCATTGTTTTCAATTAGTTATTTGGTCATAAAATGTCAGATGTTTTTCCCAAACCCCAACATTACCTCCTCAATGTTTTCAGAATACATTTTTCTGTCATAGTGTATGAAGAAACCCCAAAAATGTTCACATTTAAAAAGCCAATGTCAATCATAAGGAAGTTTACAGATGTATTAAATAGTTGATAATGAATCGACTAATGATACATCTTTGCAGCTCTATAGTACTTATTGATTGAGTCATTGCTCGCACCTGTTCTGTAATCTTCATATTGTGCTGTGTATTAAACTCTGAAGAGTAATACAGTTTAGAGTTTAACACACAACATTTCCTGAGTCTTGCAATGAGTTACCGTGAAGATAATGTCAGACTGCTGCTCACACTTTTTCAGCCTGCCCATGCCGTAGCCTCACTTGTGGTTATCACTCTGCATCCACACGTTAACATGTTAAAACCTAAATCTGCTTCTGACTGTGCAGCTTCCTCTTTTTACCTTGTGCCCCAAACTCCTCCCGACTGTTTCACATGTTGTACAACAACAATTATTCTAGCTGCTTTAAAATAACAATAACCTGACACAACAACTGTCATTGGTCATTGTTTTTATTTCAGAGATTGTCTGAAGTGTACAAAAGTGCAACATTTTCTTCATAGGCCACATAAAGAATGCAGATGTTAAAAACACATGTTGAGCTAGATATAAAGACACAAATGTAAGCTCAAATGCAACATGACAATCAATTACACTTTCTATCCAAATGACATCACAATGTAGTAAACAAAGCACTTGTAATAATTCTAGCAATACACACGTTTTAAAACTTTGGAAACACACACAAAATAACTCAAAATATTTAATACTGTATTAATGCGCTTGAATTCTTAAAATGAGACTAAATAGACTTTCCTGCTCTTTATCAGCATAATTTAAAAAGACTAGCAAAGGTGAACAACAGTGTTAAAGGAGGTACATTAAAAAAATAAAAACACAGTAATCAATGCTCTTCAGATGCCATTTAAATGCCATATCACGTATTCCAATCATATTACCTCACATACATCCTTATAACAATGACACATATTTATGTATGTTTACACCAAAACCTATTAGTGTTATGTAGCTATAAAACGGTGCTTATAAAGATGTGCACAGAGTGGAAGAAGTGTTTACATCTGAGGACCTTCAGCCTCCACTATCGTCAAAATGAAGACAGACTCGCATGGCACTAGAACAAAATCCACTTGAGTCCATTTTGTTCACACTTTTCCCAAAATAGCAACAATCTGTTTCTTTCTCTTTATAGACTTCACAAGTGTTTGCACTTTGATGTAAAAGCTAGAAACAGTGATGTAAGCATTACATCTGCTGAAGTCCAGTCTAACTGGGTAAGGATTTTTCTGTTTTTTAAAACTTTTCGTCAGCATGCAGACAGGTCTGAAGGAGCTGCCCTGAGGGTGTCCTTGGTATCAGGATTCATGGGGACACTCACACATGAACACAAATGGTGTTCAACAACAATAAAAAAACACACAGTTGTATTTTAGTACAGCTTCAGAAGACATGTGGTACTTATTTGAGATGTTCTCAACCTGCTAGTTGGGATCCCCAGCCTCAAGGTGAATTATGGAGAAAATAAGTTGCCATTATAACGAATGTATCCCCTAACCTAACCTAGTTATGAAAAGGTGAACATTAAAACGACATGAAAAGAACAGATTTCACAACAGCATGAAACCATCACCTTGTTTTGAAGAATCCCAACCCTAACAGGTTGAGAACCATCGCTCTTTTTTTAAGTTGTATAAAATCTAAGCAAATGAAAAGTGTATCATGTGGAATATGTTGAAGCTTTAGCTCCTATGGTAGATAAGACATTTACGATCTGGATCTTGCAATAGCACCACTGTTGGTTTAATGAGGTAACTTCCTGTCAGCCGGTCTCTCACTTCCTCCTTCGGCCACAGTATTTACCCTGGCAGCCGGCGCCTGAGTACAGAGCAGAGAAAATGATTCTTCACATGATAGAGCATGCATACTTCATATGTAAAAACTGAACTGTAAACATGTATAGATCATTCCACATGAACACATAAGTTCCCGCAAAATATTAGAATGACTGTATCTGAATAATTATTTAATATTAAATAAAAAACGTTTGTAAACTTAAGACATCAAATGTAGTCAACTTAAGTTCAGTTAACTAAAGATAAGTCCTCATCTCAGTCAAAAGGGTCCGTTTTGTTATTTACCTCACAGCCACGTAGTTCCTGTATTTGTGGTTGTTAGACTACAGTGGGGCAATTCTCGAAGTGTCAGTTCTCGAAAAAACATGCTTGTACCAGACTAAGAGTGGAAATTCATGCTTGTACCAGACTAAGAGTGCATGGTTCGTTTCAGAGGAAAAACTACGTGTGAACTACTTCCATCAAATGCCATTTCTTTAAACTGGAAGGAGGAAGTTGATTGCTCCGCAGAACATCAATTTAACTGAAGTTACTACAGTTAAAGTCAGAAGAAATCATGAGTATGTGTGCTGGAATGTTTCTGAATGATATCTAGGCATTTTAGTTGAGTCACACATTCCCATGAGAGTGTTTTACTGTGTACAAAGTGTAAGGTTTTACCTCTGTAGCCCCTAGCTCCCAGTAATGCCTGCATGGCTGCATATTTGGCTACCATCTGTGCCTTGGCTAAAGGACATACAAGCAAAGAGAAAAGTTATTCTGCACACATACAGCCTCTTTACAATGAAACCAAGCACTATAGACTATACAAGCATACTTGACTTGATACATGACTTACATTTTCCTAAACAACTTAAAACAATTATTGTATTTTTGTCACTTAAGTAATCAATAATTCCATTGTCAAATATTCTGTCTTTAGTGCTTATGAGTAGGAAAAGCCTCAACATTTAAAACTAAAAGATTACAAGGAAATACTGTGTTATGTGTCAGTGCTAAAGCTAATTAGAGCATGCTCATCCCAGAGGTCACTGTGTGTTTTCTTACATTTTTGTCCGGCACCCGCATATCCTATAGAACAATAACAGGAAACAGAGTCATGATAAACAAAAGGTCATCTTTACAATGGTCTCGTGTTATCTCATGAATGTTTTCAATATTTAAATTTTTTAAGAATATTTACTGCTTATAGTTTTTAAACTTTTCAAATAATATACTGTGGGATTAATTAAAAAAAGGGAGTATAAAATTGACCAAGTGTTTTACCTGGATAGTTTCCACCAGCCACCCCACCAAAGCCAGGGCCAGCACCCCCTGCTGGAACAAGACACATTACAGCAGGGGTGTCAAACTCAAATACACAGTGGGCCAAAAAAAAAAATTGGTACTAGTCGAGGGCCGGACTGGTTCAATGTTTATTTCAAAACGTATTGAAATTAACTTATTGCACATATTAAACCTGGAACTAACAAAGCTTAAATTGTTGCCTATAAAAACAACATTAAACATAAAATAATCAGTTGCATTAATTTCGTATGGCTCTATCTGCAGCTTTTCCGGAGTCATTTCTTATGATTACATTTTTCCACAGGCCAACAACAGCTTCAAAAAAACAATTCCCCTCAAAGAACAAACAAACATGCCCTGTTGTCTCAAGAAAAAAAGTGCAGAAGGAAACATCCATTGAAACTCAGTGTGCTGCTGTGATGCTAGTTTAAGCCAGATACTTGGCATCTCATCTTCGGTGCAAGTTCATCAATGTTTGGGGTCAGGCTCTGAGCTGAGGAAATCCTCAGGATGGAGTGAAGGTGTCCGTGCAATATACCGGCGGGCCAGATCTAATAGTAATTAAAAATTATCCTGCGGGCCAAAATCAAATCCACCAAGGGCCTGATTTGGCCCCCGGGCCTTGAGTTTGACACATGTGCATTACAGCATACATACTATACATTCACTAGAAAACTATACAATATTACTCTTTATCCAAACTCGGTGTATCTGCTGTATTACTCTATCATTGAAACATGTACTACCTATTGTGTGGAGGTATGGGGAAACCAATATAACTATTAGAACATTCAATGTAAAAAGGGTAGGCATAAAAAGCTTAGTCTTCGCCTACACCTTTTTGGACAATATTTATTTATTTCCCTTATATTATTAATGTATTTATTTGATCAAAATAAATGGTTTCTGCTTGATTATTACTACAACACACTTCTCTTTATAGAACAGCTCATCAAAAAGCAGGACAGAGATTTACTGTAATGCATTTGTTTTCAAATCTTTTACTGTAAAAATGCAAAAGAACATGCTCTTGTTTATTGTGTCAGTGCTCCTCCTAAACTGACCTGGTAAGCTGCCTGCACCTCCTCCTACACCGTGACCTGTTCCCGCAGGACCTCCTGCTCCTCCTGCTGCACCACCTGGACACACGTGAGTATAAATGCAAAGTCAGTCAAAAAGCAGAAGATAACACACAGCATTAGAACCGCAACAATTAGAGTAAATATGAGATAGATGTATGATCATTAAGCAGAGTAAATATGAAAATAAAGCAACTAATGAATAAACATAGAACAAAGATGGAGACAGAAGATGTTTACAATCAAGTTTTATCATGTGGATAAGGCTTAAAGTGTATTGTAATTCTTTGTTCTGGTAAATATCCAGTATCGTAAAGAAATTGTATCAGTAATTTTAATGGAATATGTGCATCCGTAGAGAACTTTACCTGGTCCATAGCTGCTTCCTCCCAACGACGAGCCGTAACCTGATTTAGGAGGCTTCCTGTTCCCAAGTGCTTGGCCACCAGGTCCAAATCCACCCGCTCCTCCAGGTCTAAAACCCCCAGGCCCAGTTCCAGCACCTCCTGGGCCAACGCCCCCGGTTCCAGCACCTCCTGGCCCGTAACCCAAATTGCCTGTCCCTGTTCCAGCTGGTCCATATCCTCCTGGGCCATAGCCTGCAGATCCAGCTCCAACTCCACCAGGACCAGCACCTATACCGCCTCCTAATCGCCCTGCTGGGAAACATCCATATATATAAGCACATCTAAATACTTTATTAAACAAACAAAATGATCATCCCTAATCATAACCCTAAACTCACCTGCGCCATACCCATAACCTGGAAAAAAGCAGATGAGAATCAATTACTCTACTATATTCTATATTGAGGTTCTTCATCTGTACAAAGTTTATGAATCACCTTTAATGTATGTTACTTGTATTATCAATACTTACCAGATTTAGACGGTTTTCTTTTTCCGTAACGTGGGCCTCCTGGTCCGTAGCCTCCAGGTCCTGTGCCAGCACCTCCTGGTCCGAAACCTCCCGTTCCTGTACCAGCGCCTCCTGGTCCGAAACCTCCCGTTCCTGTACCAGCGCCTCCTGGTCCGAAACCTCCCGTTCCTGTACCAGCGCCTCCTGGTCCGAAACCTCCCGTTCCTGTACCAGCGCCTCCTGGTCCGTAGCCTCCAGGTCCTGTACCAGCGCCTCCTGGTCCGTAGCCTCCCGTTCCTGTACCAGCGCCTCCTGGTCCGTAGCCTCCAGGTCCTGTGCCAGTGCCTCCTGGTCCGAAACCTCCCGTTCCTGTACCAGCGCCTCCTGGTCCGTAGCCTCCAGGTCCTGTACCAGCGCCTCCTGGTCCGTAGCCTCCCGTTCCTGTGCCAGCGCCTCCTGGTCCGTAGCCTCCAGGTCCTGTACCAGCGCCTCCTGGTCCGTAGCCTCCCGTTCCTGTGCCAGCGCCTCCTGGTCCGAAACCTCCAGGTCCTGTACCAGCTCCTCCAGGTCCTGTGCCAGCGCCTCCTGGTCCGAAACTTCCCGTTCCTGTGCCAGCGCCTCCTGGTCCGAAACCTCCAGTTCCTGTGCCAACGCCTCCTGGTCCGAAACCTCCCGTTCCTGTGCCAGCGCCTCCTGGTCCGAAACCTCCCGTTCCAGTGCCAGCGCCTCCTGGTCCGAAACCTCCAGTTCCTGTGCCAACGCCTCCTGGTCCTACTCCCCCAGGCCCATATCTGCCAGGTCCAACTCCTGCACCTAAAAAACAGACATAATTTAGCTTTTTAACTAAAAAGCTGCCAGAATTATATTATTAGTGAGAAAACGAGTATAAGCAGCCCGTTTCTCTGGCATATTTCAAAAATAGTTGTTGATTTTTGGAGCAACAGAAAGGCTTAACCTCGACGGTGTTGGTGAGTTTATTTAATTTCTATTCAGTTTTAATGAAGTGTGTCAAAGTAGAAACCATAACATGGCTTTACTTTAAAGAAGATAGAAGAAGTACTGCTCTAGTCTGCCAACTCAATGTTCAATTAGAATTAGTCTACAGATTTAGATCTATAGGAATGTGTCAAGATAAAATACACAGTTGGTACACAGAACAACAAAAGTATCCATGTAGCACTCTTTGTTCTTAACAACTTTGTTCCTAGTTCTGATTGTATTTTTAGTGATTGAGGTAGTTATGATATACAGACATAGAGATAATCCCTAAACAATCTGCACATTTGAATGTGTTTCTCACCTTGTCCATAGCCTGTTCCACCCAGAGAGGATGATCCATAGCCTATCAAAAGAAGTAACCAGCATGAATATATCTTAAAACGCAACACATACAGTAATGACCTATGCCATTTCAGTAAAAAGTATTTATGAGTGTCATAATTCATGACTATTATACCTGATTTGGCAGGCTTTCTCTTCCCTAGTCCTTGACCTCCAGCAGTATAAACGCCAGGAACTACTCCGGCTCCTCCAGGTCCATAGCTGCCTGTTCCTGTGCCAACACCGCCAGGACCAAATCCGCCTGGCCTGGTTCCGGCCCCACCTGGTCCGGTCCCTGCTGTGCTTGGCCCATATCCTCCTGGTCCAGTGCCACCAGGACCGTAACCAGCAGAACCACCAGGACCAACTCCACCTGGTCCAGTCCCGTAACCACCAGCTCCTGCCCCGTAACCTACAAGCAAATATTGTTTAATTTTCAGTTCTCTGTATAAATGTTTGACTTTGTTCTCTGCATATCTGTTAAATAATATCCTACGTTTTGAGGGTTTGCCGGTGCCCAGTCCTGGACCTGTGCCGTATCTAGAAACTGAATAACAGATAGGATAAGTTAAGATAAGTTAAGGAAATACTTTAACCCCAAAATGATACTTTGTATATCAATTGCTCACCCAGATCGTATTGTGGTGTTTTAAGAGTAAGGTTTTGTTTTCTCAGTGTTTTTTAATCTTCGTTCACTTTGGAGGCTTGTGAGAAAAGTGTTCTTCAACAATTTAAGGCAAGGCAAATAATTGATATATGAATGATCATTTTGGGGATCAAATATTCCTTTAACCAATATTTTAATGATGTGCTGTTTAGGTCAACTTACCAACAGGACCCACACCATATCCCCCAGGTCCAACACCAGCTCCAGTTCCAACGCCGAGGGTCCCAGCACCCGCTGGACCTCCACCACCAACGCCCCCTCCTCCATAGCCTCCAGGTCCTGCACCATATCCACCTGGGACAGCCCCATAACCTCCGGGTCCTGCACCATAGCCTCCAGGTCCTGCACCATAGCCTCCAGGACCAGCTCCATAACCGCCAGGACCGACCCTACCCTGCCCCGCGCCGAGAGTCCCATATACTGATGGAAAGAAAAAACATAACATGCATCATGTAGCTTATTTCATTGCCCAGATACTGATTAAAACAAGAAGAATATAGTTGACAGTTTATCAAACCTTTGCCTGCTTTTCCCTGTCCTACTGCAGATCCAGTCGGGTAACGTAAGCCTGAGAGAGATACACCATGATTCATTGAATCTTACATTTTTAAAGAAGATGAATTTGCGTGAGTATTTAAAATATGACATAATCTATTGCAGATAAAAGATGCCATGATAGAGAGTTAGTTTACTCACCTCCACCTGGTAAAACTCCAGCTCCACCAGCACCATAGCCTGCAATGAATACAGTGTAAGCATCATTGTAACATGTGCATGTATGTTTGGGTCACAAACATTTCAGAGATCAAAACATGGCAGCTGCTCACTTTTTCCCGGTTTAAATGCTCCTGTTCCTACTCCACCAACCCCAGGGACCAAGCCTGCTCCTCCAGGACCTGCTCCAACTCCTCCAGGACCTGCTCCAACACCACCTTGGCCTCCAACTCCACCAGGACCTGCTCCAACTCCGCCTGGACCTCCTGTCACCCCCCCTGCTCCACCTGGTCCACCACTTGCACCTCCTGCTACAGTCCCATCAGTTCCCTCTGTACATTTAAGAAATTAACTGATACAATTAACTTTTTTCTTTAGTATGAACATTTTCAGTTACTACCTCTATGTGAGTCATTCCAACTGGTTATAGTAGACGTTTGATACAGATTGATGTGTAAAGGTGTCAAATGTAATGCAGTCAATGTGGTGTTTACAGTCACACGGTAAAAATGGCACCTTTTGATGGTTTGGGTGTTCCTCCAACTCCACCGGCTGCTCCTCCTGGTCCAACTCCAGTTCCTGTTGAGCCACCTGAAACACTTCCTGCTCCTCCTGCACCTCCTCTCTCTCCGTCAGGACCTCCCTCTCCATCTCCTTCACCGGGCGTGTCACCTCTGGGGACACCTGCAGATAGAGCATAGAAAACCACACCTGTATTTCAGCTAGAATTTAAACTGCAATCAAGAACAAAGCAACTCAGTAAGTATTCAACTATTACATACAAACATCATTACAGCAAAGAGCCCTGGTGAGTGTTTTCCACAAAATCCACACAAAAACAATACCAAGGTTAATGTATAATATAACGTTTAAAAGAAGGCTGTTTGGCTTATGAATCGCACTCATTAGAGATATATAATACGTTGCTTTGTATTGTACCATTGTCAAAATGCTGTTAGGTAATAGATAAATAAATTATCCTGAAATAAATTAGATTTAATTTTATTGACCTGGGGGTTTGAGAGGTTTGGCTCCTGGCAGTGTCCCACTTGAAAGATCCCCATCAGAACCTGCAAAATGCAATCCATTAACAATACAGGAAGTGCAAGTTTCAACATCTGGTCAATATTTTGGAAGTACTGTAGTATTTTTAGAAGTGTAATGCAGATTTGCGTACCACTTGGTTGCACAGCCTCACCTCCAACTAAAATAATAGAAATACAGATTATCACTCAGGTGGAGAAATATTGTGATCAGCATCAAGATGAAAAACATTTGTGATAGCGAGACATGCCACTGTATCTTGTGAGGCCAATTTATTGTTTATAATGTGCCGTTATTAAGCAATAGTCCATCATTTTGATTAACATCTCATAAGTAACATATTGAGTGTACTTTATTTCAACTCACCAGGAGCAGCTCCTGTGGAACCTGTAGGATGTGAAAACAAAAGGATCAGCCTTGTTCATTCCTAGTTTAAATTAAGCAGAAACACTTGTTGGTCTCTTGTATGTTACATGCAGTATTTGGGATAGTGTGGATGTATTGGTCTTTTAATTTCGCCTTGTAAATATACAGAACATTAAATGTAGAAAAAAAAGTCCAGCAATGATCCAAAAGTCTGCGTATTCCTGGATCCTTGGTGGGGAATGTGTTTTCATCTACACCTCAAAGTCCAGTTGAGCTAAAATATAGTGTTTGGAAATGTCCACATGGTGGCGCTATCCAAAACAAAAGCCTAGATGCACTGTTATTTTTATGTCTGGCTGACTAACAGATGTACTCTGACATAATTAGATGAACATACAGTGCTTGTGGACAAACATGCAGAAACTCTGGCTGTAAAATAAACACTGACCTGAAACGTCTGTCCCATTGAGGCCTGTTCCAAGAAAATCATTAAAAAAAAGATGAAAGGCAACAACAAATAGTAGCAGAATAAATGAACACCTTAACTTTTCCTCTTGAATTTGTAGTTGAAATGACCAAGATACCTGGTTTTGCTCCAATGATGGGGATTCCTGTTCCACCCAAGACGTCTCCATCACCTCCTGCTCCCACAGGTCTGCCAGCCACTGAAAGAATAAATGCAAATAAATAAGAATTAGTTGCATATTTAGTATTATAGATGTTTTCCTTTATGATCTCCAGTGTTTCCTGTGTAGTCTGTTGGCCATCTTGTTTAACCAACAGACTGTTATACCGAAAGACTTGAATTCTACAGTTGTGATATTAATTGTCTAACAATCTCAAAATGTGTAAATTTAAGGTAAGAAAACACAGGTTTTCCAGCAAGTTTAGACACACCTTCTCCTCCAGAACTTCCAGACCCCTCTATCACACTGCCGGCGCCGCCATCACCTGGAATAAGGTCAGGGAGATTTAAACATTGTACTGCATATATAAGAGCTTTTGATG